TGAAATCAATGACATTAAGCCTACAAATAAATTTTCTACTATTTAAAATAACAACGAAATTATTACAAACCAAATGTTTGCATTCTGTGAGGCCAAATAACAAGCAATGGAACTAGAATTTGTAAAAACTGGCTATTATATTCGGGGTTTAAATTAGTACTTGACCATCATCGAAACAGGGGGGAGGAGAGCAGAAAAGAGCGAAATCCCCTTTTTTTAAGAAATCTTTTTGTACGCAGTGACAATTGATGAAGCTCTATAATGTAAGTGGCATATCCCTCACTTTCAGTCACTTAATGTAATTGCCATGTCCCTCACTATCAGTCACTATAAGTCTATAATGTAACCGCCATGTCCCTCACTGTCAGTCACTATAACTCTATAATGTAAGTGCCATGTCCCTCACTATCAGTCACTATAACTCTACTATGATGTTACTTGGGAAGACGTTAGGAATGACAATGTTTGTACAATCTAAGACTGAGATAGACTGAGAAGCAATGGTGTTTAGCTGTTCAGGTGGTGCTGGTCAAGGATCATTAAGGTGACAAACTGGTTGATCAAGAAAGGGAAAAGGCTTCAGATAATTACCGAATGAAAGCTGAGGCCTATACAAGACAAACATATTATTAATCCAGATTTTAACTCACACTGAAAGCTAAGTAGACAATGACCTTAGTTCAAATTTGAACACTTTCTTACGAAACATTGAATTCAAATCAGTCCTTAATTAAATTCAAAACAGTAGGTTACCAATTCACTTTTGTTAATGAACAGTACACTTGCCGGTGTCCATTGTATGTAATATCTATAATTATTTGCTTTTATAATAAGTGTACATCTTTTACCAATTGGCATTTTGTTTTCACCACCTGAGTTAAAATTTACCCGATTAGTTTGAATACTTTTCATTAGTTGGAATTAGACAGAGGGCGTAACGTACATTGCACTTCTAAGATGTTCTCAAGTCCTTAACTACAACTAAAGAATTTGGCTGTGATTTAGGTAGTTGTAGATTTTTATCATTCAGCACTTAAGTCTTCATGAAGACGTTTATATATTATTCTGTTTTAAAGGGAACTTAACGAGGGATGATTTGTTTTACATGAATCCCAGTCAAAAATATGTAAGTTAAGGACGAGGTTAAAACTACCGTGGACAGTTTATTCAGAACTGATTCAATTTGTTCCAACAATTAATAAATGACATAATACAGTTTTCAAGTGTATTGAATCTATCAACATTATGTTATATGAAAACTTTGAAAGACAGAGAGGTTAATATCTTCTCTTTATGATTTGATATTTGGGTTCTCTTTGAGTGACAGGTATTCATTGTGATTTTCTCACAAGTTTGACATGACATAGTTGTCTGCGTAATATCAGGAATCCAAGACAAACTGTTCCTTTGGTAGAGAATCTTTGGAATCGTTAGTTCCTGTCAATTAGCTGTCAAATAAGGTTGATATTAAAGATTATTTTCATTATAAACTATTATAATAGTGGTCGAATATTTAACCCCAAATATCAGTAATGTTTACCATCAACTATCTCATATATAACGTTCTGCATTTCAGATTTTCAATGAGGCAAGCGTTCTGCTCAACTGCAAGTGTTCTGTATTTATTACAATTAACTGTCTTGTAAAACATTTTGACTCATGTTTCACCGTGTGGTTTTATCATTATAACACAGAGATCAGACAAAATATCATTTTTAAACTTCAGTTGTTCATCGTATTATAGAATTGTTGATTGTATCTTCTGTTTGAAAGATGTTCTCTACGCTCTTTTACACATTAATATATCTATCAGCATTCTAATAATGTTCAACTTGAAACTCGTCAAAACCTCTTGTGTTAGAAATCAACTAATGTAATTTTAAGAAGACTTCTAAGAAGGAGGTTCGGAAATAGGGTCACGTATATAATACAACTTTTTTTTTCACTGGAATCTGAAACTATACATTATTCAGATGGTTTTCAAAATTATTCAATAGTGTTGATGCAATTTTCAGAAAGTTTCATTAATCATTCAGAAGTATTATACATTATTTTTAGATAGTTCTCAATATTATTCAATAGCGTTTGTACAATATTCAGATAGTTTCCTACAATTCAATACAGTTAGTGCAATTTTGGTATAGTTTCCTAAAGTATATTTCGACACACTATTTAGATAATTCCCTTATTATTGTGCAATATTAACAATCCCTTCGCGGTATTTAACATTATGCGTGTTGTTTTTTTAATTCTCCAATATTAAATACAATGCGAAACCTTGCGTTTTTTGGTTTAAAATTGTGCTGGTAGCAAAAAACATCTTTGATATTGTAATGGCGTAAAAACACAAATCGTTGAAAGATTCTCCAGAACTCTTAAGTATGTAGCCAACGTATCAGTATAGTTAAGTACTTAACGATGAAAAATTGGGGAGAAGCTCAATGAAGCAGGACATACTATTGGCTGTATATTGATACATTAAGTTTGATATCAACATAATGAGGTATTTTAACTTCTGTAAAAATTATCAAAGTTCTAAAACACATTGTATCTTATTTCAATTTCATAAAAACATGTTTGTTTTTCACTTTACCTATAGATAAAAGTCTCTATAAAATAACAGTCTATGGAAAATTGCCAGTTCACTCAATAAAACAGATAAAGTTGTTTCCAAGAATTTACAAAAGACAACCGCCCACAAAATTCATTATTTATTCAGTTTAAACTATTTAAAAGGTTAACATTAATCAACGCAAATCAAAATAAACGCCAAATTGTTGAGAAATATGTCACCTACGTATTTCAAATAGATAGATAGATGGATAGATAGATAGATGTAAATATCATATTTTCAGGTGTATTCACTGTACGTTCTTGATATTGGAAATTTTGAATTTTGTCCTACAATGTATCCCAGTCTTCATTAGAGTAGAGATAGTCGATTCTGTTGGGAGTAATGAAGAAATGTCCTCCAATTATTAACAATGCTTTAAGAGGGCAGGGTGTCAAAAAGACAATCACTCTGCGAAATGATGTTCGGCTGATCACCTTCTTTTCAACAACTGATATTTCATTGAAGACAGGCAACGCCATATATTGTGCAATTGCTAAAGTCGACAGCTTAATCAAATTTATCTAATGCATTAGAGAATCTTATTTCAATATTTAAATCTCATAGCTTTTGAAAAAACATCCACAAAATGACCTCCATCAAGAAATTTTTCTGTGCTTCAATTTTTGTCTGGATAAAATTCGAAGTTATTCATCGTGTTTTAAGATTTCGACTGGAAAATTATTGTTAAGTTATGAAGAATGTCAATTTTAAGATAATAAGACAATCATCTATAAAAATGAGATGAATAACTCTGTAACGAATTTTAAGCCCGTGCTACATAAGTTTGATTTCGTGGATTCCTAGACTGGAAGAGGTTAGGATAATCAAATCTACCACTGTGCAATCCAATTCAGTTAGCCCTCAAATATGGCGCTGTATTTGGTTCAAAATAGGATATTCAAATACCTGAAATTGGTGACGAGAGAACCGGACGCCAATGTGTCAAAGTATATGTGTTCGTCTGACCTGCGCACATTTTAAGTCGCTAAACCAGACTTTGCACAATTCAATGCAAATTCATGATTGAACTTGTGGAACAAAATAAATTCCAATCAACTGAAGTAGTTTGGTATGATAATATCTGCTATTTTATCTGTGCACAAAAAGTATAGGATACTGTGGTTAAATTACTTTAATATGACGGATCAATATCGTAAATATAAAATATTAAAATAAAAGTAACAGTTAAACACATTGCTAAATATATCTTGATAATACAACACTAAGCTGCCAAGTTAAAAGTACATGGAACCCGTAATAAATTGCTCTGTAATATATAAGCTTACCTATAGATCTACCTAAAGTAGGGGGTAAATCTAAATTTCTACGAAAGGGGTAGGGTACTGAGGTATGACCTCAGCCCGACTGTCAACTGACGTAAACTTACATATTTAAGACGATAAAATATATACATTAAGAACACAAGTTATATGGATATACTACTTCTAGTTTTATTACATACTACGACAATGTTACCTGTATGTGTTACGAAACGTAGTATGTAATAAAACTAGAAGTAGTATATCTATATAACTTGTGTTCTTATTGTTTAATAATACAAATATACAACTTTCAAAATCAATGTTTTTGCACAGCGGACAAAAATTACACATAAAAGTGATAACTTCAGTATGAAGACGAAAAAGGTTAAGTAGCATGGAAAAGTTTTTCTTCAACATCATATTAAATATATCATAAAAGGCAACTTTCATGTTGATATTTATATCCAAGAACACAATCATTAATAATCGTCGAAGGGAAATAACTACTGTTTGCATTTATTGGCACTTCAGACAACAATAATTTAATTTGATGAAATTCACGTTTGTAATATACCAATGCCAATTGCTGTACAAATTCTCCTCAAGACGAAAGAAATTATACTTCTGAGAATGTCTACTAGTGTCTGAGCAAAGTAAAAGGTTTTTAGAATTTTGTCCATTATTTTTATGAGAAATTGAAATATCAGCATCAAAATAATACAGTTAGTCTTAGAATGTATTTGCGTTAATAAAAAATTTTTTTAAAGTTTACATTAAACATTTTCTCCCTGAAAAGTCCAAAATTTTGGATGAAAATTGTAGAAGACATAATATATGCTTATGTTTATATTTTCAACGCAGCCATTCTAAGACTATCAGTATTATTTTGAGGCTGATATTCCAATTCTCATAAATATAATGAGAAAAATTAAAAAAACTTTTTACTTTGCTCAAAAAATAGCTTTGTAAAAATATCATTTTACTAACTTCAATTTCTTTCTAACCTCGAGAAATTTTAATCCATCCTCTGTAATTTTATCACAATTAGATATATTTAATAATTTTAAATTAGGTAAACCTGATTCTATTTCACCAATAAATGAATCAGTGACTTGTTCACATTTGGAGATATTCAGATGTTCAAGTTGAGATTTATTTCTACTGATTTGATGAATTGCTAGTTCACCTAGCATCGTACCTGACAGTTCTAGCTGTTTCAACTTTGGGAAATGTGTTGCTATGGTTACTATCCCTTCTTCACTCACTCTATAACATCTATTCAATACAAGGACTTCTAAATCTTCCCATACAATAAAATCATTAATGTCTTGATTATCAATTCTAGAGCAGCCTGATAGATCTAGATGTTTTAAATTTGGATGCGGTTTTACTTCGTTTCCAGTTCTAAACCAACCTGGTCTCCATATTGAATCTTGAATAATTAGCGTTTTTAAAGTAATTGGTAATTTTGTACACTCTAAATTATCTGTATTACATTCATAAAGAAGAATTGATTTGATATTTGGACAACGCTTGGCTAAATCATCCAACATTGCATTAGATATGGTGTGTTTCTTATATTTAGGCCCACCTGAAATATATACCAGAACAAATTGGTTACCAGGTACGAAAATTGAAACAATTCCATAATTGACAAGGGCACACATTTCAGTCAGTAATGCACTGGACAGGAGGGAAAAATCAACAGTGAGAATATTCTATCAACTTAAAGCTTATTGGCTAGAACATTTGTCAGCTGATGCATGTGTTTCAGATATGACAAATCATTATTAGCAGTGAGAGCCAGATTTAGAAACAGCAGTTAACTTACAACAACTTAGTGTAGGAACAAACTGAACCAGAGAAATTTCCTACATCTACAGTATGTAGAGTCAAGCAGATGTCATACTTTGGACAAAAAAAAAAAGGGTGGAAGATGAATAAAATTAATAAAAGCTTTTGTATATCTTAAAACATTAATTGCAGAGGGATTTAGTCTACCTACCCCATTTAACAAAGCCTTTCAGTTTGATAGTTAATAATGTCTCTGAAAAATGTGCACGGATAACTTTCCACATTCTGGTTAGATCTAGATGATATGGTGATAGATCTATATGTCTCCATAAACTATCATCACGAACAATTCTTCTCCATCTACGATTAACACTGCAAATATAAGCTTAGAATGAATGGCCATCTCTGAGATTTGACTGAGCAATTAGATGGAGTGGCTGATGTATTCCCCTAATCGATAATTTTGCTTAAACTGGTCTCAAGATAAAGAATATTGGTACGTGGGTTTGGGGGATATTGGTAGGCCTACAACTTAAGGTGTGAGAGGTGGTGTATTTCTCTCTTCACTTCCCTGGGCAGCTGGTCATCAAATTTATTTGTCAGACAGACCCTGTCATTGGTGTGAATTTGTTTATAGTTTTTCTACATACACTTCTTCCAGTTCCACTCACCACTGTTCAGAATGAGAAAATATTTCAAACCTAAATCAAAATGATATTTGTATATGACCAAATCCAATTAATTTACTTGGTTGGTAGATCAATATTCATTATAAAATCTAACCTTCCAGATATACACAGATCTTTCACAGGTAAATAACTCATTATTTCAAGAATGATATTATCCGGCAATGTTTTGAAAGAAGCCATTTTGAACAAATCACGTGACATTTGTTCTAAGAACAAGCACTAGATTTACTCTATTCACTCGGGTCAGGTTCGAGTTGGCTGTTCACAACTTGTTCGGTTGTAAAATGTTACACTCATTTTTATGACGTTTTGTCCATCCTTTGTAGAAAATGGCTTCCATAGGCCAAAGAGCATTTGCTCAAAAGCTAAACAAGTTCGTATAACATTCTTATTTTACACAGTCTTTTAGATTTTTCTTATGCTACATGCAAATATATTGACTCGTGGAATAATTTTCCAGTAAAAAATGGCTATATAGTTATCATTCAGATGTTTAATCAGCATTAGACGTCGGTCATTCACAGTGATTCACACAACAAATTCAGAACAAATGTCAAACACAAAATGAAATGGTTTGACAACAAAACAGTTTCACTTCCCCCCCCCGCCCCCGCCCCCCCCCACCCCCCTATCAGTTATAGACTAGTTATATTTTATTTGTGACATTCTATTCATTGAATTTTTACAGTGATATGACACATGAACTGTATGATCTTTTTTCAAACGTTTTAGTTTGCTAACCCATCTTGTTTAATTTTATTTAATTTGATATAATTGTATGATCTTACAGGCATGCAGCAGCAGATGTGCGGCGTCAGGTTTCCTCAACTGTATCTTTTAGTTCACAGGAAGTACCGAAGAGCATCAGTGGATTGAGTTTAGCTTCTGGACAGACTGTAAGTAAATTATTTCAAAATATTATTTGGAGTTTCTTTCATGCTTGAGCAGTAACAATAAGCTTATGCTTATGAATTTATTCAAATAAAGGTGATTGCAAAAATAATATTTGGATTATGGACTAAGAAATAATCCGTCCTCCTTTGGAGCAACATTATGAAGCTTACTTTATTATATGAAATAAAGTGCTCATGTGATTATTGATTTTACTATCTGCTGGATATATGTATCTCTTAATTTGATGTTAAATGATCTGTTTATATCCTTACTAGTTTTTGGTACTAGTTTGAACATCAATTAATATTTTGTAGATCCCTATATCTGATGTAATTGATCCACCTGAGTTTGAAGATTTTGTGATACAGAATCAATGTTTGATAGAACGAGATCCTTTCCGTGATCTATTATTATTTCCTGAAGATGATATTGAAGTACATACAATGGGTAGAGCTTGTCGTACTATATCTCCTGTTATACCAGAACCTGGGTGAGTTTAAACAGGTTGAAAGGTCGGTCTATTTCTACAATATATTGTTGGCCCTCATACTTAAGATAAGCTTACTCTTTGAATAGAGCCAAATCAACAGACCTGGTTTATGTATGCATTTGCTCATGAGCACCATAATCTTTACAGAGCATGAAAATGATTATTATATATTGACATGTATAATTTTGGTTGCCCAAGTATCATTCAATCTGCATTTTCTCAAATAAGCTACATTCAACGTTGATTTTGATAACTGATTATGTGTGATTAAAATCATGAGATTAATCTCAGTTTTGAATTTCAATGCTTTGTAATGGTTAGAATATTTAGATGTCTGATTCCTTACTTTGAATTTCTACCATGTTTTTTGTAGAGCTGAACAAGACCCACATGTAGCTGATTGTTTAAAGAAATATACATCTGATTACACTGTTGTTTCTAGAAAGTAAGTTTATTACAGAGACAATTACTTAGGTTCAGTAGGGTCTTTTCTACCAACTGGTCAGTAGCCAATTCTTTTGGCATTTATATTTCCCAGATAATAGGTATCTATAAGATTGGTTGACTGGAGGAAAGATGACTTACTCATTAAAGAAATCAACTCCCTAAATAATACATTTGGTATTAAACTTGATAGTATCAGCAAAAAGTGTTGACAGTTTTCAGTATTTGGAACAGATTTATAAGATTTTTGACTGGTATTTTGTATTATATCATGTTGTAGATACCAATCATACAGCTCTAGTTATTGTAATAAAGATAGAATGGGCCATAGTGAGGGTATGATTTATCAAGAATATGAAGTAGATGTTGAAGATACACCTACACAGTTTGAAAGAGTAAGTATTCTCATAACCCTGATTTCAAATAGCCTATCAAAACCATTGTTTCCCTTGAAATACAAATCTCCCTAGAATGGGACAAAAACACATTACGCATATGATTAATATCCCTTGAGTTGGCAGTTAATAAAGACACATTATTCTCTTCCACAGTTTTGTCCAAAGTTTTGTCAGTAAGCTATTGTCTATCTGCATTGGCCTTATAAGGTTTCATTTATAATATGTATGTTGTATAATAACTCAGATCCTGTCAATACTTTGCTTTGTGTATCCTTAAAATAAGATGTGTGTATGATTTGAGGGTACCTTTGCTTGATTATATATATATACGTGAATGTTCAGTAGAACTTGGGATATACAATTTATATTATATTTTTAGGACAGTAATAAAAGACAATCTATACATATGAATGAAACACCACGAGGTAGTTGGGCTAGCAGTATATTTGATTTAAAACAATCTCAGGCTGATTTGATGTTACCTAATTTATTTGATCGTCTAACACCTGAAACAGTTGATAAAAATAATGAAAATAATCGACAAGAGAAAAGACAAGATAATATTTTTAGTCTTTATCCACAACAAGAGGAGGTCAGTTTTAAAATTATGAATTATGAAGTTTACTGTGTTTTAATAACATTTCACAATAAATAGGTCATTTTGTAAGGTTCCACATACACGTTCAGTGTTAAAATCAGGCTAGTTGATAGAGTCTAGAGGGTTGAAATGATGAAATAGTCCATTTGATATTTCCATGCATCCGTTATAAAATCTGAATGTTTACACTATCTTTCAACCAGAATTTAATTGCAAGACAAATGTTACAATGTTTTGAAGTTATTTTATATTGGAATTCCATTCTTCTGATCATTTCAGGAAGAAGTAATAGAAAGAAGAGCACCAGCTGAAGTTCCAAAAGAACATTTTGGTCACAGAATTCTAGTTAAATGTTTACAACTCTCGTAAGTTTGTCTTTTGATACTGTTGAAAACTTTTATTTTTTGTGAGAATCAAATTCTATTGTTACTTAAAAGAAATTAATTAAATCTTCATATCTTTGAATGATTTCAGTCTTGAAATGGAAGTGGAACCAATATTTGTTTCTATGGCATTGTATGATGCTAGAGAGAGGAAAAAGGTTAGTTGTTTACTTTACATTCACTTTTTTCAAAGATGATAATGTTTACTATATAGATATATAAACTGAGCTAGGGGATTAAATCTTATAGTCCAGGTAGAAAATGAAAAAGGATTCAACAAAAGAATTAATTTTTGTTTTAATATGTGACACCACCTTGGTCCAACACAGTAATTTACTGTAAAACTTAAGAGGTTTTCTCAACTATTTATTTGTATCAGGGACACTGCTATAGATTTGCACCATTTCAATTTTCAATCAGACATCTGTGGTTCCAGCAATTCCACTAAAACTAAGTGATTTTTTATGTCACTATTGCCAAAGCTACAAATGTTATTAAAGGCCTGTGCAATAGTGATATAAAAAGCTAAGTTTATATGAATTGCAAGAAAACCACTTTACAATCACTAAAAATGTATTTTTTAATTTTCAGATATCTGAGACATTTTATTTTGATCTGAATTCTGAGAATATGAAGAGATTAGTTAGTAATCATATACCATATCAAGATATATCTACCTTGAGTAGAGCTTGTACATTTAGTATTACTTATCCTTCTCCTGATGTCTTTCTTGTTGTTAGGGTATGTATACTAATTAGTTCATTAATCCAACTATACAGCTGACTTCTTCAACCAGAGCTGAAAATGAGCTCCATCATGTGTCAATATTCAGACAACTATATTTCTTTACATTTATTTAAATTATGATTGAAGCATGATTTGCACGTTCTAAAACGTTCCGCCTGATCCACGTCTAGGCACCAATCAAACAGTATTGGATATGTCATATTCAAAATGGAGGTTGATTTATGTATGTTTTACCCCTCTATTACCTTTTCCGCCATTTTAAATTCAGTCTACACCTTATGAATCCAGTTTTATAGAACTGTGAGTAGGTTGATTCTTTGACAAGCAGATCTTACTGAACAATCGCGCTTTACTATAGATTTAATGATTCTTATTTTACAGTTAGAGAAAGTTTTACAACAAGGTGATATAAGTGAATGTGCTGAACCCTATATGAAAGAAGACAAGGTAAGACATTTATTGAAATGATATGATTGTAAACATAAGTTTGTTCAGTTTACTTTATTTAGAGGTAGTTTCTAAGGTGATAGTGAATAATTATCTTGGCTTCATTATACACTTGACTAGTGGCTGTGGCTCAATGAGTTAGACAAGTTAAACAGTTCCTCATTCTTTTTGTCAGTTTTGCAGGTTTGGGGGAACAGCATTGAAAAAATGTAGCCCCATGTTCCACAGGCTGTTCAAGATAGTTAGAAATCAAAAAGAGTGGGCTACTGGTGGTGTCCTGGCAAAGTGTCCCTCATTGCTCACTGTACAATGTCCCTGTCTTCATTAATCCCATCATTTTTCGTTTTATTTTCCAATATACACTTCTGAATCTGTTCGAACAGAATTGAATTATTGTAAATTTAAACATTTTGTCAACAGTCAGCTAAGGAAGAGAAATACAGATCACAAGCTGGTCAGTTCTGTGATAGACTAGGATCCTACAGAATGCCTTTTGCTTGGACAGCTATATATCTGATGAACATAGTAACTGGTGGAGGAAGTTTAGAAAGAGAACCATCAGTTGATCATTTACCAGAAAAAGAAACATCAAGATCAGCTTCACTTGGTAAATTTAATTTTACTTACTATTTTTCTCTTTAATCTTCTATCTTACAATTTTGATTGAGTTTGATTTCATAATTCAATACTGAGTTAACACCTGTGAACACTACCTGAAGCTACAGTTCTTTAGTTTTAACATATTTTCATAAAAATGAAACCACTCAAAAAAATGAAAATCAAGTAGTAACTTCATCTCGATCTGAAAACATTAATCCAGTGGATCTTGGTTATCAAAATATTAAAGCACCAGAATATTAGATATTTTGAAATGATATTATCTAGATCGTAGAAGTGGACAATTTGGCAGTCAGTTTGAAAGTTTTAGAAAGAGATCTAAAGATGATATGTCAACTGGTAGAAGAGGTTCTATGGATAGAGGAAGAAGTGGTTTTGAGAAACGTAGAAGTTGGTCACCTGATACTTATGGTGCTAGTTTAGATAATTTTAGACCAATTACCTTGACTGTATCTAGTTTCTTTAAACAGGTAATATTCTTAGTTCACTTTGAACATGGGAAGAGGGAAGACTAATTTGTTTCAATAGATGTTTTGTGCAGGCTACTTGACATCCATGATCTGATGAAATTGTTATGCAGTCCAGGTTCTGTGTCATTAATATTTAATCAATCAAATACTCTGTTTATTTTAAGATTGACTGACTATATTTGAGGAATATTTAACATTCAATATTCAACGTTGATTTGTATTGTCAAACAACTTTTATAGTGTTCTTGATTGGTTAGCATAAATAATCTTAGCTTTGATGCTAGTTGGTCAAGATTCTACAGAACATGGTATAAGGAAAAGGCTCTTGTCTGATATGCTTTTAATAAGGTAATGTGATAAAGGAGCACTTCCAGAGTTGAGTGTGGGATTCTACCAGGATCTGGATTCCATAGTGAGTGAGAAATTCTAGAAATGTAGTCAACCATTCGTTTTCAGATTTATTTGTTTAAACAATTTTGAATTTCTTATGTTGTAGGAATCAGACAAGTTAAGTGATGATGATCTATATAAATTTCTAGCTGATTTAAAGAGACCTTCCTCTGTTTTAAAGAGAGTAAAATGTATACCAGGTATGTTGCTAGATTATTTCTAAAAGTTTGATTAAATTAAAGCTAAAAAAAGGAATTTCAAAATAAGTGTTATTCAAAGTGCAATTAAAAGTTTGAATTTGAGTACAGAAGAGAAACTATATTGATATTCTATGTGTATTGATAAGATTGGATGAGTTTGAATATGGAAATAATTCATCCAGGAGTCTGCATCAATAATAAACTTGATGAGGGATCAGGGTTTGTTTAATTCCTTGTTGAAATAATATTACATAGCTCATAAGTTTGTGATCTATTTTTGTCTTTAGCTACATTAAAACTAGATATATCACCATGTCCAGAAGAAGTAAGATATCTTCTGACACCAGATTTACACAGAGTAGAACCATATCCTGATGATAAAGGTCGACCTACTAAAGACATCCTAGAATTTCCTTCTAGAGAAATATTTGTACCTTCTACCACTTACAGGTAAGTTTTCACATGCAATATATGATCGTTCCTTAATTTTGTTGTTGTAAATCTGATCTTTCAAAATGAATATCTGAAATTTTGCTTATTTGTTATTGAACTATAACACAACTTTTATCTTTTAAAAAAAAAAAAAAGAAGCTTGTTTCATATTGCTGCACACAATTAGCAAAAGAATACAAATCCTCTGATAAGAATTGTGTGCTATCTAATTTCAGAAATCTGTTATATGTATCACCCAAGTATTTAAATTTTGCCAATCGACAAGGTTCAGCTCGTAATTTAGCTGTTAAAGTTCAACTAATGAGTGGAGAAGATGAAGTTCATGCATTACCAGTTAGTATTTTCATTATTTCATATTTTCAAAAGTTTGTTCTTTTTTATTTTAGATTTTAATGCAAATTTTGATGAACTTTTCATGAAAGTTTCACTTTGTTGTAAGTTTATTTTTTGTTTCTAGGTTATATTTGGTAAATCAAGTTGTCCTGAATTTGCTAAAGAAGCTTATACAACTGTAACCTATCATAATAAGTAAGTTAACTACATTAGAATTTCCAGGCTATTTTGAATATTATATTAATTGTCATATGAGGCAATGTCTAATTCGATACTACTAAAATAGCAGAGGAAGCTATTTTAATATTATGAATTTATCTGTTGATAGCATACATACAACCTGAGAAACTACAAATATAACATAACAATTGCAATGAAATAACATGTAACTGTTAATCATGTTAACTAAAGAATTTTATATACTAAATATACACAATGCAGTAAATATTACACTACATTGAGCACTTCCCTACTTACCAAAAGCACTGAACGCGGCATTATCACTTATCATGTTTAAAACTTAGCCCTGTTACATGTTGATTTTTGTGTTTATTTTAGATCTCCTGATTTCTATGAAGAAATCAAGATGAAGTTACCAGGTGGATTGAGTGAAGTTCATCATCTATTATTTACATTCTATCATATCAGTTGTCAAGTGAAGAAAAATGAACCAACAACACCGGTCGAGGTTCCTGTTGGATATACTGTATGTATTATTTATCTGAAGATTTATATTATGTGGATGGGAAATTGCAAGGAAGAAGGAAGCTGTATTTTAAAATGTCTGTCTTTGTAGTATCTAAGATTCTTAGAATTTCCTATGAACTTTGAAAGAATATTGGAATATTCGGTTTTGAATTGTTTTTTCAGTGGCTACCATTAATAAGAGATGGACAATTAGTAGTTGGTGATTTTACATTACCTGTTAGTGTAGACAGACCTCCACCTAGATATTCTATGTTACATCCTGATGTAAGTAATGTAACAAGCCCAGTTCCTTTCGTTCAACCTTTGTAACAAATTGAAATACAACATCCTGGATTATTGTGCCATGTAGAACCAACCTATCCACCCAGCAAAGCACAATTCTGTCACACTGTTCCACTATTAATCATTATTACAGTCTCTCAACAGTTACATGTAATATCTACATTATGATATTTAGATAACTATATCCTTTAAGCCATTACTTGTATGAAAAGTTTAATGATGTATCTTCAGTATAAATGTGTCTTATTTCAGGTTCAACTAAATAATATGAAATGGGTTGATAGTCATAAAGGTGTATTTAATGTATCTATTCAAGCTGTCTCTTCAATACATCCTCAGGTAAGATCAAGATCTTTGTTTCTCAGGTTAACCTTGTAACAGACCAAATCTAAGAGCAAAAGGATTTTCACTGCCAGGATTCTCATGTCATGTCTATTTCTCATGTCATGTCTATTTCTCTTCTTGTATCTATTTCTCTTGTCTTGTCTATTTCTCATGTCATGTCTATTTCTCTTGTTGTATCTATTTCTCTTGTCTTGTCTATTTCTCTTGTGTCTATTTCTCATGTCATGTCTATTTCTCTTGTTGTATCTATTTCTCTTGTCTTGTCTATTTCTCTTGTGTCTATTTCTCATGTCCTGTCTATTTCTCTTGTTGTATCTATTTCTCTTGTCTTGTCTATTTCTCTTGTGTCTATTTCTCATGTCCTGTCTATTTCTCTTGTTGTATCTATTTCTCTTGTCTTGTCTATTTCTCTTGTGTCTATTTCTCATGTCCTGTCTATTTCTCTTGTTGTATCTATTTCTCTTGTTGTATCTATTTCTCTTGTTGTATCTATTTCTCTTGTCTTGTCTATTTCTCTTGTCTTGTCTCTTTCTCTTGTCTATTTCTCTTGCTGTGTCTATTTCTGTTAACAATGTATTTTATTTTGTTGTAGGATGAATTTATCTCAAGGTTTTTAAATCTAACACACTCTGCTAATGAACAGAAACTACCCCCTAGGTTAACTGAAACTAGTTTTGAAAATGAATTAAAAAGAAGTGTCATGGATTTAATGAATGCTAAAGGTGACCGTTTGGTTCAGTTTCTACATCTGATATTTGATAAGTTATTATATTTAATGGTACGACCACCAGTCATTGGAGGCAATTCAAGTAAGTATAAACTGGATTTTTAAATAATTTTTTTGCATTTTAGTGGACCTGCCCAGTTGTTCAGTTCTCTGTAGCTTTGAGTATCCATGTTAGATTTATAGAAGCATGAAATAGATCTGGAATGGGATATTTTTTTCTGGAAACAGAATATGCAGTCAAAGTAGAACATCTTTTGACATTAAATTGTTCTGTTCTTAGCTAAATTATGGAGGTGTACAAACTTTGTAATACCCTGTAACTGTTCTGCATTCTTAAGCAAGCCAGAGGGCCAAGATTGAATCCAACTTCAATGGATGTGGTCATACTAAATGCTGTTTGGAACTTTTTGATGAGTTTCATACATGTTATTTGTTTACATAGATAAAGCAATACGAGAATATACCATAGTATAGCATAGCATAGCATACTACACCTGAAATTAAAGGTGACTACCTGCTATCATGTTACAATTTGCTAGCTAATTGGACATTATAATTTAGTACCATATATATATATGCTTTATTACAGTAAGTATTGGACCAACATGTTTTGAAGCTATAGCACAGATAGTAAAGAAAGTCCATGAGTTATTAGAAGAGAAGAATGATATCAATGGTAGAAATATTACACTAGCCACTTATATACAGTATGGTTGTAATATACCTCATCCTGGCCTGCTACAACATGGTATGTTTTAGTATTAAAAGAATACTTCCTCTTAGAATGAACATAAGATATAACTTCTCAGACCTTTGTTCAATAAGAGTATATATTCATCAGTGGTGTCATAACTATACAACAGAATCCCTGTATAATGTGATTATCCATAAAACAAAGTAATTATTGAAAAATGCTTTACTTTTTGTTTGGTTATCAATAATTATTTGTTGTTTTATGGATAATTACTTGATTTTTGGATTTATCAAAATGCAGTTAGTTAGTGAGTTAGTTTAGTTATGACATCAGGTAAGTCCACTGATAGATATATTAATCTCTTCGTCTGATTATTGAAGACATAGTTACAGTTTTACTCATACATGTATATAGATTAGAATTGATACATGTCTATTGATAATGAAGTTTAGAAATGGAGATATTATTATTGGCTTACAGTTTTAAGACAGAAAATATAATTTCTACTTTATATTTTTCTAGTTCAATCATTAGGAAGTCCGACTATGTCAGGTTATGCTACATTAGGACGTCCATCATCATTACCAATAAATAAACAATCTTGTCTACGTAGTACCAGTAATCCTGATCTAGCTGGTCAAACACCTACATCCCCTGATGCTGAAGTTGCTGGATTTATAGGTACGTCCACCAACTATTTATTGTTTTCAAATTATGTATATTTAATATTTTTCATATCTACATATCATATCTGTTTAGACAAAACCAGACACACCCCTCTCTCTATACATTTACACAGTAAATTGCACTGTAACCACAATTTAAGCCTAGTTATAGCATACCTAAGCACCTCCCACTCATTTATACAACAAAAAGATCAAAGGGAATTGTCATATCATGTTATATTGTGATATATGATTACTATTTAACAGGTGGTAGAGGTAATTTAGATAGAGCTGGTAGTATGAGAGGTGATGACACTCTATCAAATAATATTCCTAAAATGAGAGGGAAAAAGGTATGTAAAATGACTTTACATTTACTTTGTTAAACTCTTTAAGATTATATTAACTCCAGTATTATACTAATATAGAAAGACAAGCTGAAAATGCGCCATTTTTTTAGATTAATCATACTTTAGTCTCAGAAAGAGGAATTTTTCAGCTAAGCCAATCAGTAATAATGTTCAAAGCTCACTGTCAAAATTTGAGCTTTCAAATCAATGTGTGCCTATATCCGTGATTGAATGTTAAAATGACTACAATTTAATATACTCTGTGATATAAAGAGAAGACATATATAGAAAAAGTGTGTAAAATTCCTAGTTTAAAGTACTTTTAAAGGAATTATGCGATTTTCTGAAGACTATTTGCATATAATCAAGACTAAAATCAACTCCCCAAAATGGAGCACCTGTCCCATTAAGCAGATATATATCCTCAATAAAGTTTTCTATATCATTTTCCACTGATGATATCCTATTATTATATTATATTATTTTCTTCAATATTATTTAGTTAATACATGAAGAGTTTGCTCTACAGTGGGTTGTATCAAGTGGTACAACTAGAGATTTAGCTCTCAATAATGCCTGGTTCTTTCTAGAACTAATGGTGAGTAATTTTAGGGATACAGGTCCGAAAAAAGCACAAGATGAGAACTAACCAAATATGTGTCAGAGTATTTCTACTGATGAAATTTTCTTGTTGTAATCTTCTTCTGGGATCGATCTTACTCATTTACAGATATGCTGACTGGAATAATGAGAAAATGACTTATTCAGTTCAAGGTCACCAGATTTTCACACTCATTAAAAATCATGTAATAATTCTATCACTCTAACCCACTGTGCTACCCACAGCCATTCTTCAAAAGAAAGATGTAAAATTCCATTGTATTTTCAGGCAAAGGCTATGGCTGAACATCTGAGTCATGTAGATAAACTCGAGGCACCAAGACAGATGAGATTTCCTGATCATTTTATAGATGATATACAAGCATTAGTCTCTATGTTAATAAGAGATATAGTTGATAGACATATAAAGGTAATTTTCTATTGAGGTATTATTTTAAAAATAGAGAAAGTGCTTTTGGGAATCACCAATATGTGCACTTGATTAAAATTCGATAAGAACATGTTTAAGGCTTATATCAAGGGTATAGGAAGCTCTACTATTGCATCAATTAAAGAAAAGACTCCTGATGAAGCTATGTTCTATTGCCCTTTGACCTCTTATGCTCATACCTGAACAGTGTGTCCAAAGTGTTGCTGAATCAAGTAGTTTTTGGTCCCAGTGAGAATGGGAATGGCATACCAAGATTCATTTGATATGTTACTTATTTGGGCTACAAACCTTGTGTTAGTTTCTTCTGGTTCTAATATATTATGTATAATTCAATTTCAGGAACCACCATTGATTAAAAGTTTAAATACCAGTCTAGCTTTCTTTCTACATGATCTATTATCACTGATGGATAGAGGTTTTGTTTATCAGTTGATTAGTCAGTATTGTGGAACGGTAAGTTTGCTTTTTCTATTATACTTGGACAATTCTAGAATAAAGACCAGTTTAAAGCAAATCTGCCTGTGTCCTAGACTGGTAATGAAACAAAGGTCTCTACTGAAGTCCTTTTGATGTCAACAAAAAAATTACTGACCCAAAAGTTAAACAATTAAATTTTAAATGGTCATTAAAATATTGAAGCGGGTTGACTAATTACCCTAAAGGTTTCAACTCAAAATATTTATACCTAAAATCAAAACTAGTTTAAAGTGCTTACTTGACAATTAGAACATCCAATTTTTTTCTCAAATATTAAAGTAAATCAAGTAGATACATACCAAGTAAATATTATTTTTTTTAGAAACTTCATATTATGATCTAATATTGAACGTTTTTAATTTTGAAAATTTTGCATACTGCCTATTTAAGTGATAGCTAAGCCTATGGTTAATACCAATATGTCCAAATTATATTAACTAGAAAAAACGTTACTTTTCAGACTCTACATAAGATGAATCTACTACAAGACTCTACTGGTCTAATGTTATTACGTCTAGATTTTATAAGAATAGTGTGTAGTCATGAGCATTATTTTCCTCTAAATCTACCGTTCGCTACACCTACTACTCCATCATCGGGTCCTTGTAGTCCTACACCAAGTACCGGTAGTATAACATCTCATAGTTCTTATACATCAACTAGTACATTGACTGATAAAGGAATATTCTATCAACTAACTATCGAGTTTAGACAACAACATTATCTATGTGGTTTAGTTTTGTCTGATTTGTCTGCAGCTCTTGACACATAGTAAGTTTTTTCTCAATGGTTTTTTACACCTACATATTTTTATGTGGACATACTGTTATTGTTGGTTAGTTTTCACAGTTATAGTCTATTGTTTTTAAACAAATTTTGATCAAGTTTGGTTGATGTATGAATACATGTAATCCTAAATTAAAGATCGATTAGAACACGTTTTCACTGATAAAAAATAGTTTCCCAAAAAGGGTTATTTAGCTGTTAGCTGGTTTGCTTAAAGTACGTAAATAATGATGGTTTCAATGTTCAAGTCATCTGATTGGACAATAATTGGGACATTAGTTTTATTAACCAATCAAATGGCTGCATTTAGTCAAATCTTGTTTTTGTTTTATTTATGATGTTTTGAAACTTACAAAGAGGCTGTATTTTTGTTTGCTGTTCCTAAACTTGTAGTATATTTTGTATATTGTTGAACTAATGCTTACTGATATTGTATTTATCTATTGTAGTAACCCAGTCATCCATCATAGAGCTATTAATGTTCTACGTAACTTACTCCATAACCATGATTTAGACATACGATATACAGATCCTGAAATAAAGGGAAGACTAGCAGCTATGTATTTACCAGTAATAGGTATTGTTATCGAGGCATTACCACAACTATATGATCCTTATCTAGAAGAACGTAATAGACACTCTATACACTTTGATGAAGAAGGAAATCGTATTAATCAAAAGGTTGCCATGGCTATTGCTAGTTCTGCTGTTTATAAGCCACAAGAGACTCCTTTTGATCCATCAGAGACATCTGTTAAGGTAAGTGGAATTTATAACAGAGACTTCTTTAAAGTAACACACTCACTTTTTCCCATTGACTTACATGGAAACTGGACTTTAATGTTCATATTTTATCAATATTTACATTATTCAAAACAATAGTCCTATACGCAGTGTTTTTGTTCTATATTACATGTTATTTGTTCTATACATGGTATGGCATTCAAAGAGTGTCAAGTTCAACGCATTATTTTTGTTCTGTTTGACTAAAAACTTGGTTGCATAGCAGTTTATCTTTGAGCTGACAGTTTATGTCATAATTTTATGAAATTTTTTGGTGTTGGTTTAAATCAACAATATCTGTTTTAATTAAATGTTTGGTACAATTTGACAGAGATTGACAGCCTCCCTTGATTTTCTGAAAACATTTATTAGGGAAATGGGTGTATCTTGCCAGGCAACCACTTGTTTGAATTAATAGTGACCTAAACTTAGCATATTGTCTTCTGAATAATGAAGCTAGAATTTTGAGGATTAGTTATCCCGCAAGATCATAATTTTGATATGATTTGATATATTTTGCAGTGATGCGTGAAACTATGAGTAACAATATATTTCAGGTTCTGTTTTAATATTTCTATTTTATAGTCACGTAAAGCAGGGTTAAATGCTGAAGCTACACGTAATCTATTAGTTTGTTTTATGTGGGTGTTAAAGAATTGCGATCATAAAGCATTAAGACAATGGTGGTCTACCTTACCTATGAATAAATTAGCCAGTTTACTAGATGTTGTACATTTTATAATATCTAACTTTGAATATAAGGTAAGTATGGCCGTCTTTTGGCATGTGACATGATATATTATAAACTTCTTGTTTGATTTTATTCCAATCATATACATTAGCAATTGCAAACATTCTCAGTGCATGTTATGATTACTTTGAAGTAAGCACCAGGGCTGTTGAAAAAAGCTCAAAGTCATTATTGTTCTTGGGGATCTCAATTTTTGTGGATAAGCAAATCAAAGGATTATTTTTCTTATAAAAGCTTACAAAAATATATGGAAAAATTGAATCCCCTTGTTCCCTTGAATACATGCTTATGAAAACTAATCTATGAAATTCGGTACCCATTTAAAACAATGATTTTACAGCCTTTGCTAGTATAGTCTAGCTGGAGTTCAAAGATGCCCGTGTGATGGCATAAGACAAGAATATATCAAACATGTAATTATGTCTGGTAAGGAACATTTAATCAACAGCCCTGGTTGATAATGTAGAAAACTTGTTATAAAGATTTTAAAGTTTGATGAAATTTTAATGAAATTTGTGTTGTTGTAATATTAGACATTCATTCTTTCACAAACTAATTCTGGGTTTTATTAACTTTTCTGATAATATTTAACAAAAGTAGATTTTGTGTTCACTGTATTTTGTGTAGTCATTATGTTAAGATAAACCTGTAAAACTATCTTCATCAAGTCCAGTGGTTTTATGGTTTTAGCTCACTTTGCTTCTTCCAATAATTTGCTTTGTAATTTTGTAGAGGTTTTATTGGAAGCAGATGTTGTTGGCACCCTCATAATTTTGCAAATACTTTCAACTTTGGACATTTCCTTATTAGGTTACCCTTGAAAAACAGTTCCCATGATGACCTTATCTTAATTCTCTTGTATTCAATTGGAAATTTGATTGTATTGAAAGCATGTTATTGAAAGACTTAACAATAAATGAGTAAGCAAGCCCTCCCATGCTACATGTACCAGCAAGTATCCAGATACAATCTTACAATGATTCTTCAATATTTTTAGCCATATAGACTGATAGGGATGCCTTTTTTGACAAAATCAGTTACTTATTTATATATGGTGTTCTAACATGGTGAACCCTCGTTTGACAGCTGTCTCAATACATATTTTAGTTCAACTCAAATTTGATCAAGCCCTAGGACCTTGACTGGATCTAATTTTTAGTTATATTACATAGAAAATGATATATTTAGGTAGTAATGACTATGTTATTATGTTAATATACGGGCACCTTGCTATGTACAGCATGTAACAGTGTTCAGTGGTGTGGGTTTCAACTATATTATAATAATCATATATAATAGCTGTTCTAATAACCTCCCTAAACAGTTTATAGGCAAATATTATTATTTTCCGACTCTTCTGTTTACCTCCCCTGCCAATCTTCTTTTACTTATTTCTGTGAATTGTATGAAGTGTGTTTTGTAGTAAGATATGAAGGACATGTTAGAAGGGAATGGACAGAACAAATATCGTTCTGAGATTCCAAGTATTCCTGCAAGCTATTCTTCTATTGTAACTTTTATTCTCAGTGTAATGTTAAAATGATCTTTAAGCATATGAACATTTCGAGCTAGCCAATTTAAAAATTAGATAACTAAGAATGAGAAACTATTTTACCATATATCCAGATATTACACATCTAAAAATTATTTAAAAATATGTAAATGAGTATCAAAAAAATATAGCTGCAATTGTGAATCGCATTACATTTGCATGGTCATTCTACAGCATTGTGTAAGTGATGAAATCTTGTCTTTTACAATAAACATGTTGATTTATCCTCATAATAGTTGATATCTTGGTATGACTGCTTAGGGCTCATGGAAATTGGATGGATGATAAATTGATATTTACTGTTCATTCCCTTACAAATAAAAATACACATAAAACATTGACAAAATAACTTAGTTAATGATTAATTTTAATATGTTTCCATTTTTTAATGAGAAAAATGTTCAAATGGCATGGAATTATAAATGTTGTACAATTTTTGATCTTTTCAATAACTTCTTGGAATAACTCCTTTTTTGATTGATTTTGACATGGTTTTCAAACTTTAACATTTTAACAATTAATATTTTGAAGAAAATAAGCATGAGGCATGAACATTTCTATGATTGAATGTAAATTGTTTTGAAGAGCACCCACTAAAGTAACTAATTTTACTGTGATCTTAGAAAATCTTTTAATTTCATTGCTTTTAGTAATGTACTTGAGCCTAAGTTTTCAATTTAAGCTTTATATTTTACATTTGTCTGAAAGCTTTGTGTTTGGCTTTACATATCAATCTATATATAGAATCATCTCAACTTTGATATCATTTTACTTGCTTTTATTCAAAATCACTTTTTCTTCACTGTTATATCTGATTCTTTTTCAAAATTATTTAAACTAACAAATTTTAAATTGAAAAATATTATATCAAATTTTAATATACTCTAACTGACCTTAAATTACCTTATAATATATATATATAAATAGAGCTAGACCCCAATCTAGTATATTTAAAAAGCATTAGACAATATCTATCATACATATATTATTAATCACATGTTGATCAATTGGAAGCCATCTTGAATTTTGGAAGCCATCTTGGATTATTCTATTCATGCTCATTATTCATTGACAGCCATTCTATCTTTGAATTTTTAACGATAGTCATCTTTTGGCCTTTCTAGCAGATATACATGTAGCGCAATTTCTGCTTATCATAGCACTGTGAGAATGAAATTCTGACGTCTGGAATGTGTGCAATTAAAGGAATTCATGCTATGGTCATTGCACTTCCACTTTGTATGTTTTCTTTAATTGCAGACAAACCAAACATTGAATTTTCTTACTGAAAAGTGATATGAATGGCTGAATTTGGGCTATGTCAATTTAGCCGACTATCTGTTTCAAGCACAAGATTTGCCATGCTTAATTTCTAATTTCATGCTTTCTGTTTTTTTATTGCTCTCTGTCTTTGCTAAAGTAATTTTTGTTTTGATTCTGAACTCTTCTTTGGTTATCTTTTGGTCATATTTCATGCCTACTTTGATCATTCATTCTCATTAAATCATGGAATTTGAATACCACTTTCTCTGTAATTCATAAAATTCATAGAATTCTCAAATTGTTCATAATTATTAACTCATAGATATTTTAGAATGCCACATGACTTTATATCATTGTCAGCCATTTTGATAAATCCATCTGTTGATTATAAGAACTTTTACTGATTTTTGTAAAATTTGGTAACTGTTATGATTTTGGTTAGATATTTGGCACTTTGTAGCAGTTTTTTATACCTGAATATTTCTATCCTGTATCAAAAGATACAATAATAGATAAATGTTGAATTTGTTGCAGAGTAACTCTTATAGAACTCAACATTGTCTCAATTTTTATAAAACAACAACAACAATAAAGTTGTTTTCCTTGTTTCTAATTTATATGCTGCAGCTTTGTAGTTAACAACAAATTTTGTTAAAAATTGGTACCTGATTTTTCGGAATTTGATCAAACCTATGAGGATGTAGTCTATGAAATTTTGTATTCAATTTGGAAATTTTATGAATCATTAAATTTACAGAGCTATTTTAACCACTAGTTCATTTATCATGACTCAAATTTGGAAAAAAAAATCAAACAAACGGCTGAATTGCTTCCAATTGCCAACATGTTTACTACTTGTTATGTTGTCTTGTCTACAGGCCAAATGGGCCATGGTTGATTATGACCTTGCATCCCAAAACTCCTCATCTGATGAAACACTGGAAGATTGGCAGGATGGTTTCACTGGTCTCTCAAATCTACGATCTAAAAGCTTCTTATCCAAGCCACAAACATTGCATGAACAGCTGTGGGAAGGTATTCAAAGGAAATCAGTTGACTTTCTGCGAGGAACAGGAACTCTATTAAATAGAAGTTTTTCTAAAGAAGAACAGCTCATGTCATCACAGGTATATAAGATTGATTGGCAGGGAGGTGAATTACAATCTTTTATAAATATTACCAGAATTATTGATAGAAAAAATGTCCATTTGTGTCCATTTTGGTGCATAATTGTGTCAATAAATATGAAACTTTGTGTATATCCATAAAAATAAAAGTAGTAAAGTTAGAGTTTAAACTTATGTCCATTTGTTGGTCAATGATAGATGTAATTATGTAAAAACAGTTTAACGAACCATCCTCACGTCGATAAATGTACCTATTCCTGACTTTTTTGTATGAAGGCCCATCAACTTTTTCTATTGCCTTTAGTACATAGAAGAGCAAAAACAGATTAAGTCTGGTTACAGTTTAGCTAAAATACTTTCCAATGATATTTGATTGTACAGTTTATTTTTAATCAAATTGTGCCAGAATTTGTTTAATTTCACACTTGCAATGTCAGTTAAACTATCCTTGGACCTGATTCACAAATTTACTTGCAAATGTCAAAATGTCTCTTGACTTGCATTAAATTGTAAAACAGGTCAAAGGATGAATTTTGATTTTCCTAATATGTTCATCAGATTATATGATATTTATATTATGTGATAATTCAATGATCCTTTCATGATCTAGGGTAAGAAAGCTATGAATCAATGTTCTCAACAAACCTTAAAGAAATCAACTGATATGAAATCAAAGTTAGAAGAAGCTATATTAGGAACTGGTAATGCTAGAACAGAGATGATGTTACGCAGACGTCAAAACTCTGTTACTTCTGGTAGGTATTATATAAAAATATCATGAACATAAACAACTTATTTCATACTTAAAAACTTGTATATCCTGTTCAAATGAGAGGTAACAAATGCAGCATGATCATTCCATGACCATGTAATGAACTTAAAGGGTTTGTAAAGAGGTTTTATTAAATTTTTTATGTGTAACTGGGACACTGATAGCATTGATTTGCACCATTCCTATTTTCAGTCAAACATCAGTGGTTACTGAAATTCCACTGAAATATCACGCAAGGTTCTTTGTGATAGTGAACTCACACATCTGATCATAATCAATTGGAATTTGAATGGTGCAAATTGATGCTAACAATGTCCCCCACAGATAAAAAGTTATAAGACATCTTTTCATTCTGTTTAAGAATCAATTGGTCATATAGTAATCATGTCATGTAATATATTTCAACAAGCATCATTTCATTTATATTGAATTATATTATATAGTTGTATCAGGTGACAGAACTCCACCATTAGTATCTAGTGAAGGTAATAATGGTAGTGGTGGTAGTGGTAGATTAAGATGGAGAAAAGATCAAGTACAATGGAGACATTCAATGGAAGTTCATGAAAGGTAACTTTTGTTAAATCATGTTTTGAAATAAGCCTTCCAAAATTCTGAGTAGGTGATCCCATACTCTACTACAACTAGCAAGATTGCTTTAAATTAATTGAGTTGTATTAGGATCATATCAGATATTAGTGTTGTCCTGTAAATAAAGTCTTGAAAAGAAGCTGGTCTTGTCTGGACTCAAAAAAAAGGGGCACTTATAACTCTTTTTGCACTGTTCCCAATGTTGTGATCCTATAATTGTGATACTACAAATGCCATTTGGCTTTCAAGTACCAAGTTCATGAATGACTAAGAATCAGTATAATTAAAATTAGGCCAAACTTTCATTCCATTTAAAAATAGGAGCTAAACAACAACAGAATGAAAGTTTGGACTAATTATGGTAGGACTGCATATGCTTCTTATTTACAACATGAGGCTACTGACCTTGGCCTAGAACAGTGTGAGGGATGTTAATTTTTGTGTGTATACTTTCAGTCCTAAACCAAGAGATGTAGAAATTGATAGTCATGTTGAAGGAAGTTTAGCAGCAGAAGTCAGTATGATATCATTAGATTTAATAGAATTAGTTATACAGGTAATTTTCTCTAGTAACTTGGTACTTGTTTTTTACACACCCATTCTCTTATGTCTCAGCTGGTGGACAAAATTATCCCCGAGATCATAAAATAACATAATAGCCCTTAATCTCGGAAGTCAGTCAGAAAATAAACACACTGGCGCCATGTCAGTCTGCAACTGGGTATGTGAACTCTGCATCCCTTTTCAAGAAGTCCACATAGCTAACACCCAGTAATGTTTGATCAACTAACTAGGCTTAAAAAACAGTTTAACCATATGATTGTTCCATTGTAAAGATCACTCCAGATTAGTGACTAAGTTTGCTTTTCTATACAACCTCCATTTTCAAAACAAGCAGTCCTGCTGAGGATTTTGTATCCAAAACATGTTTCAGCCGATTGAGATGAGCTCCAGGAAATTAAATATCATCCAATAGGTAATTATTTGAGTTAACCTGTATGAATCTTATTAATGTTTAACTTTTAGATTGCCCAGACGTCAGATTTAATGCAGCCATTATTAAGCAGTGCTTTAAGAGTGTTATTACATATGTTTGCTTTAAATCAAAGCACCTTGGTGTTACAGAACATGTTTTCTACTCAAAGAGCTTTAGTAACAAGGGTAAGAGATTTTGTTAAAAAATAATTGATAGACCCTACTACTTTATGTAGTAAGTAATGAGATGTGGGGAATCTCAACTCTTTGTTAAAAAATTATGATCAATCCAAAAAGCTATCAAATCTTAATCAATTTATTTCAAGTGAAACTTTATTTGAAATGTCATTTGATTTGATTTTTTTCAGTTCTTTGATTTTGAATTAATGATTTGTTTCAGTTTTTGGATCTGTTATTTGAAGAAGAAACAGAACAATGTGCTGATTTATGTTTAAGATTATTAAGACATTGTAGTTCATCTGTTAGTAATACCAGATCACAAGCTAGTGCTTCACTTTATCTTCTTATGAGACAGAACTTCGAACTGGGAAATGTAAGTCTTGTAGTTTTGTTCTCTAAATACTAGTTCTGCATGTATATTAAAAGGATTGTAAAGAGGCTTTCTAACTTTTTTTTATTTGTATCTGGGACACTGATAGAAATTCTCAGTCAGATGTCTGTGTTTCTTATAATTTACATATATTTTTTAAGTTTCATATATTTAGCTGAATCTTACTTTTCTTTGCCCTTTTTTAACTAATGAAGATGAACATTGCCTTGCAGTGTACAATGATTGAAACAGAACAGTGGTATTGGCCTACAATCCTTATTCTATGTTTTTTTCTTCAGAATTTTGCTAGAGTCAAGATGCAAGTTACAATGTCATTAAGTTCATTAGTTGGTCAGAATCAGAATTTTAATGAGGAATATTTACGTAAATCATTAAAGACTATATTAACTTATGCTGAAGCTGATATAGAACTACAGGAGACCAGTTTCCCAGAACAGGTACTATTTACTTACTGTCAAAGGTGAACTACAGAGACATAATTATAAACTACAGAGACATAATTATAAACTACAGAGACATAATTATAAACTACAGAGACAACATTCTAAATTACAGAGACAAATTTTTATACACTACAGACACAATTCTGAGCTACAGAGACATTATTCTGAATTACAGAGACAAAATTCTACAGAGGCACAATTCTGAACTGCAGAGACAAAATTCTATAATCCTATTTGTTAGCAAAAAATTTTAGATGCCATTTTAAGATTCTAAAGAAACCTGATGTCAGAAGTGCTATTCAGAAGACATAGTATTGAAGCTACCAGCTCTTTATTTGTGTTTGTCTGGTATGACTTTTATCTTGTTGTATTATACACAAACACACCAAAACATAGGCGTTTCATAGCATGTTGCATTGTAGTGTAAAATAAATGAGAACTACTATGTTCACAATAAACTTTGTATTTATAGGTTCGAGATCTGGTATTCAATCTACATATGATCCTATCTGATACTGTTAAAATGAAAGAGTTTCAAGAAGATCCTGAGATGTTACTAGACTTGATGTATCGTATAGCTAAAGGTTACCAAACATCACCTGATCTACGGTTAACTTGGTTACAAAATATGGCTGGTAAACATAGTGAGGTATGTATCAACTGTGTACACTAGTTACTATCTTACCACTTACAACAGGTACAATTAATATTCAGTAAATATATTATCACTGTGTAATACACTGAAACTTATGTAGAATATCTCAAATTTGTAACCTTGCAATTTCTAGTATTCAACAGTCCTCATTAGCCCATACGGTGCAGAAAATTAGGATGTAAAACTCCATTCATTTCATTTCATTTCAAGTATTCAAGTTTTTTGTAGCTGCACACAATAGACATTGTTCAAACGAAAAATCACCTATAAGCTTACCCCTTTACCACAAGAATATTGTTTTGTGAACATGATGTTAACATGATGAGATCTTTACAATGTTCTTTTTTTCAATGAACTCTACAGACTCGAAACAATGTTCAAACAAAAAAACAGGCATTATGAATGAATATTTTGTATTTTAGAGAGGTAATCATGCTGAAGCTGCTCAATGTTTAGTTCATGCTGCTGGTCTTGTAGCTGAATATTTAAATATGTTAGAAGATAGACCATATTTACCTGTTGGATGTGTCACTTTCCAGGTAGGACCCATTACCTGAACTCTCTTAAGCAGTTGCAATTTTTAAAAAGTCTGGTATTTCAAGACTATTCAACTTATGAGGCTGTTATTTGGTGAAATGATGTTTAATATCTCTATAATTATGAGGTGAAAATATAACGGCTTTGGCTTTGATGTTTTTTTTAAATAATAATGACTTGAAGATTGTTTTTTTGGGCCACCTGATAAAACATCACAGGTCATTACTACCTTGGAGAATTAACTACTCTCAGATTAAACTCTAAGCTTCCACAGTATATCGTGTTAAAATGCAGAAGAATGTGAGAGTGGATTTTAAAAGTTATATGCATACCTGATGATTTAGCTTTTTTAATTATTTTAGCATGTTACACCTAATGTATTAGAAGAAAGTGCTGTATCTGATGATGTGGTCTCACCAGATGAAGAAGGTATTTGTACTGGAAAATATTTTACAGAGAACGGTTTAGTTGGTTTACTAGAACAAGCTGCTGGTTCATTTACAATGGTTTGTATTTATTACATTAACAATGGTTTGTATTTATTACATTAACAATGGTTTGTATTTATTACATTTACAATGGTTTGTAGGTATTACATTTACAATGGTTTGTATTTATTACATTTACTTTAGAATGGTTGAAAATGGTTTTTAATAAGATAGTCCAAAATGCAGTATTCTGTTGCCATTTGCCTGGATAGCAGTAAGGAAAAACAGATCACATAAAAATCCATCAAATGAAGGCCCGAAGACCAATTATTCCGAATGACATATTTCCATGTAATGTAAATGTTGAAAATGATGATATTATATTGTAGGGTGGAATGTATGAACTTGTCAATGAAGTATATAAGATATTGCTACCAATTCATGAAGCTAATAGAGACTTTAAAAAACTGGCCCATATTCACCAGAAATTACAAGAGGCATTTACAAATATAACTAGACAGGTAAACTATTTTCAAATATTAACAGACAGGTATTTTTTTCACTGTTGACAAATTCAAATTGACAGACAAACTATTTGTAAATTATTTACAGATATGATTGGACTTGTAAATTATTGACAAATATAACTAGACAGGTAAACTAGTTACTAATATAATCACACAGGGGAACTATAACAAGTATTTCCAGTAAACAATTTACAAAATTACTAGACAGGTAAATTATTGACAAATATAACTAGACAGGTAAATTAGTTACTAATATAATCACACAGGTGAACTATAACAAGTATTTCCAGTAAACAATTTACAAAAATTACTAGACAGGTAAACTATATACAAATATAACTAGACAGGTAATCTATTTACAAATATTAACAGACACGTAAACTATTTACAAATATTAACAGATGTGTAAACTATTTACAAATATTAACAGACATGTAAACTATTTACAAATATTAACAGACGTGTAAACTATTTACAAATATTAACAGACACGTAAACTATTTACAAATATTAACAGACGTGTAAACTATTTACAAATATTAACAGACGTGTAAACTATTTACAAATATTAACAGACATGTAAACTATTTACAAATATTAACAGACGTGTAAACTATTTACAAATATTAACAGACATGTAAACTATTTACAAATATTAACAGACGTGTAAACTATTTACAAATATAACTAGACAGGTAATCTATTTACAAATATTAACAGACGTGTAAACTATTTACAAATATTAACAGACGTGTAAACTATTTACAAATATTAACAGACGTGTAAACTATTTACAAATATTAACAGACATGTAAACTATTTACAAATATTAACAGACGTGTAAACTATTTACAAATATTAACAGACATGTAAACTATTTACAAATATTAACAGACGTGTAAACTATTTACAAATATTAACAGACATGTAAACTATTTACTAATATTAACAGACGTGTAAACTATTTACTAATATAACCAAAGAGTAAATTAAAAATGGAAAGCTAAGAAGTACTGATGTTTTATATTGCAGAAAGGAAAGCGTATGTTTGGTACCTATTTTCGTGTAGGTTTTTATGGTAGTAAATTTGGAGATTTAGATGGGGAAGAATATATCTATAAAGAACCAGCTATAACTAAACTACCAGAAATAGCTCACAGATTAGTGGTTAGTAAATTTACATAGTTTTATTTTTTAACACTAAATATTGCCATGTTAATAAGATCACCTTACAATTTAGATAAATAAATGTTTAAAAGTCATTTTATCTTACAAAACTAAAAGAATGTGATTTTCTCTCTATGATATTTTAACATAAACTTTATTTGTGCTATAGATATTACTCAGAAGAAGTTGTTTTCAAAAATAACTGTAACTAAAGCAATGTTAATAGTAATCATGAGTCTGTATTTTAGGGTTTCTATGGAGATAGATTTGGTGAAGATGTTGTACATGTATTAAAAGATTCTAACACTGTAGAAAAGGAGAAGTTAGATCCTGAAAAGGTAAAATATGACTATTAAATATATTATACTCAATAACATTGAATCAAATGATAGCATTGATGTTAGCTGCCAGATTAATAATTTGTCGATTGTTGGCACTAGCCTTTGGTTGTTCATTCTTCATTGCAATAGAAATATATTTTCATGTAGTATGATAGGATTGTACAAGCTTATTTTTTTATTGTGAATTAGTTTTGACTTAAGTTCCTGCTGTAAAGCAAACCATGCCAGCCTAATGTTATTTTGATATTTTTCAGGCATATATACAGATCACCTATGTTGAACCTTATTTTGATTATTATGAATATAGAGAGAGGGTGACTTATTTTGAGAAAAACTGTAAATTAAGTGAGTCTTAGCTTTTGATCAAGAATTTGAGATATTTTTGCTTTATAGCACATTTGAGGTAAAAAAAATTTACTGAAAAAAAAAACCCACAAATATTTCGTAGTTTTCCATATACCATATATTTGCATGTGTAATGCACTTCTTTACCCTGAAAAGACAATCGGCCATTTTGTAACTGATTGCTGATGATAAAAAGTGCTTATATGAAAGACCATTCTTCACATGACAATGTCCTTTCAATGTCACTATATCTCTATTGCTTATTTTCAGAGTAAATGTTATATGTTTTATTCCAGTATGAATTTTATAAATATATATTTTGTCAATCCTTGAAATAATCAACTATGCAAGTTCTTGATTAAACAATTACAATATTTCAGAGAGATTCATGTATGCCACACCATTTACATTGGATGGAAGAGCCCATGGTGATTTAAAAGAACAATATAAACGTAAAACTATTTTAACAACTGTACATTTCTTCCCCTACGTTAAAACTAGACTATCAGTTATTGAAAGACAACAGGTAAGCTTATTGTATAATACTTTTGCAGCAACTTTTGTCACAAATTCTGATTTCCTGTTTGACGCTTATGGTAGTGGTTCATGCATTAAGCACATTTGGAACTGCATGAGCATCACGCTATCGTATTTTTTCTGTATATGATACAAAGGGTTAACTACATTGACAGTTCTCCATTTATGATTTTGAACTCGATGAAAGCTTGTTTTTTCAGTTCATGTCGTATATTGCAAATTGTTAAAGACGAGTGATAATGCTATTAAAATTATGTTAATCATGAATGATAATGCTATTAAAATTATGTTAAAGACGAGTGATATTGCTGTTAAACGTTAAAGCAAGTTTATTAAATTATGTTAAAGATGAGTTTATTAAATTATGTTAAAGACGAGTGATAATGCTATTAAATTATGTTAAAGACAAGTGATAATGCTATTAAATTATGTTAAAGACGAGTGATAATGCTATTAAATTATGTTAAAGATGAGTGATAATGCTATTAAATTATGTTAAAGATGAATGATAATGCTGTTAAATTACGTTAAAGCAAATTTATTGAATTATGTTAAAGATGAATGATAATGATATTAAATTATGTTTAAGATGAATGATAATGATATTAAATTATGTTTAAGATGAATGATAATGCTACTAAATTATGTTAAAGACAGCTGATAATGCTATTAAATTATGTTAAAGACTAGTGATAATGATATTAAATTATGCTAAAGCAAGTTTATTAAATTATGTTAAAGACGAGTGATAATGCTATTAAATTATGTTAAAGCAAGTCTATTAAATTATGTTAAAGATGAGTTTATTAAATTATGTTAAAGACAAGTGATAATGCTATTAAATTATGTTAAAGACGAATGATAATGATAACGATATTAAATTATGTTAAAGACGAATGATAATGATATTAAATCATGTTTAATATTAATGATAATGCTATTAAATTATGTTAAAGACAAGTGATAATGCTATTAAATTATGTTAAAGACAAGTGATAATGCTATTAAATTATGTTAAAGACGAATGATCATGATATTAAATCATGTTTAATATTAATGATAATGCTATTAAATCAAGCTAAAGACGAGTGATAATGCTACTTTGTAGATAATATTGTCACCAATAGAAGTAGCTATTGAAGATGTACAGAAGAAGACTAAAGAACTAAGTGTAGCTTTAAATCAAGATCCACCAGATACTAAGATATTACAAATGGTTCTACAGGGTTGTATTGGAACCACTGTAAATCAGGTAATTTTATTTTAAGTCAGGAAATTCATTTATTCATAAGGTTGGATACGTTTCGATTTCAAGATTTTTCGTCAAGTAGTTGCAGAATTATTGTCATCAGTTTTAATTGTGTTATGCTACTTCACAATTTTAAGTTAACTCTTTTGTGCAAATTTGAGAAAAAAGATCACCCAACCCAAAACCAGCATAGAACAGTTCTGATCTTATACCTACTTATGCCTCATTTTTAGAAGTGTCTTTTTTAATTTAAGCAATACTGTAACAGTGAAAGTTTTTTATTTCTTGTTATAATGGTATTGTTTTTAAATATAGGGACCACTAGAAGTTGCTATGGTATTTTTAAGTAAAGTAGCTGAAGGTAAAGAAGTACCTAGTAAACACCATAATAAACTTCGTCTTTGTTTTAAAGATTTTATGAAAAAGTAAGTATATTCCATGGTTTTATTTTTGTTAAGAGGGCTATTATATATAATTGGTGGTGCTCGATTGGAGAGATTCCGTCTGTTTCAATTTTGCCCTCAAGCGACCATATGGAATGGAAATATGTTGCATTCATAATTTTCCCATCTATCTCCTTCTCTACCATTTTGAATTCTGTCTGCAACTATTTTTTATGTGCATCTGGAACATGTACTGAACTCTGTTCCAACTTCAGTGAATGATAGATTCAATGAATTCTCATCGTGCGGATCTTGCCAATCAAGCAACCTCTTAGTGTAGTGTTGTACTAAATTGCCTGTAGACCAAAAACTGCTTTATGTTAAGAATTTATGTTCTAATATCTATTGGAGGCAATTTTGAGTCAATTGTAAAAGTATAGTGCTGTTCAAACTTAGATCCTGTTAATTCTGAAGTTGATAAAAGATTGCTATAATTGAAAGAACTACAAGTAAAATATAATTTATTTTAGGACAAGTGATGCTCTACGTAAGAATAAAGCCTTAATTACATCAGAACAAAAAGAATATCAACGTGAATTGGAGAGAAATTTCCATAATTTCACAGACAAAATACAACCTATGATTTCTCCACATATTAAAAAATCAAAACATAAAAGGTAAATCTTAAGTTATTATTCATTAATGCATGTGATTAACTGAAAACAGAGGTCCTTATAGACTACTGTGATTGCTTTTGACCAAGCAAGTAATTTTACTGTACAGCTTTTACATTTAAGCTTTGCGTGTAGCCTAACTGGAAGTTTTTGTCTTACAAGATGTACATATGAAGCCTTGTTATCCTGATTTTCCTCCTGATGTTACCATTCAATATTGCAATTTATTGATATTTTCAGTAAAGAATCTCGAAGTAAAAGAGCTCAATCCCCTGGAGCATCTCAATGTTAATCTGAGGAAATCTCAAGTTATTAGAAATTGAATTCTCCAGTGTTAAGAGGTGAAATCTCATTAAAAATCTTGATAGTTAAAGAGAGGAATGGAGCAATCTACCCACCAAGTTCAATACTAGTGTTTAATAATTTATATCTAGTCTATCATGTATTCATTACTTACTATTTCATATAATATTTTAGTATCTTGGTAACTTGATAGCCATTATCAAGCCAGCTTTGGCAGAAATGGTATGCTAATGATCTAAATGTTCATTCATCTTTGTCGTTAAGGACAGTCTCACTGCCATTTATATTTATTTTATATTTATCTGCTTTATGCATTTTTATAGCTTCCCCATGTCAGTGCCAATTATATGTTTGTGTGTGGATTAAATCCCCTGTTTTACTTTGTTTCATCAAGATAAATTTATTTACTCAACAAAATTTTTGAAAAAATGTGCCCAAGTAATATCTGATTTTCTGAACCAGTTTGTGTTCCACCAGAAACAAGTTCTGAATGACTGAGTTATTCAAGAGAATAATGCAGTAGAACTCTTTTATAGTCTGAAATGTGGTTTTACCAATAAATATGAATTCAAACAAATTTAATAACTTCTACCCAGTTTCACTTTCTGTTGATATATATTTTTATTTTGTTGAGAATTTCTTTTTGTGCAATATATTGTAAATATTTTTTTCTATTTTGTGTGTTTTGGTATAAAAAAAGAAATTTTAAACATTGATCATGTCTTTCAGACATAAATACCATTTGTATACTTACAGTAGACAGCTAGCTTATTCATTTCTAATAAAATGATTAAAATACTACAGTTTCTGATAATGTTTGTTGATTTGCAATGATCCAGGACCTGTTTATTTTTATAGTAAGGTGTAAAAGAGAGAAGCAATGACATCTCGAGCCAATTTAGGTATTTTTCCTCACAATAATGTGTTGGGTAAAAATTTCCAAGTTTAACTAGAAAACAGGAATTTCTAAAATATAGCTGCAAGACTTTTTTGACTGACAGACAAAGGAAATTAAGATACAAGAAATCATTGCAAGGTTGATGTAAGTTTTATTAAGAAAATATAAGCTGCCTGCCTGCAGACCTACACACAAAGTATTATGATAAACATTATAACAGTCATTACGGTAAATATATGTCATGATCATAGACACCTTAACTAGATTTAATAGAATCTTATTAATATCCATGATTACTTGTGGACGGACAATGTACATTACAGGGATTCTAAAGAGGTTTATTGAGCCTTTTTGTTTCCAAGGATTGTGAAGAGGTTTTTTATGTGTATCGGGGACACTGATAGCAACATTTCAATTTAAGTTTCACTAAAAGTAAGTGTTGGACATCACTTATGTGTTAGTGATGTATTTTTATGGAAATTGCTGATTTAAAATTGAAATAGTGCAAATTGATTCTCAGTGTCCCCCATACACAGAAAAAATTTAGAAGACCTCTTTACAATCTCTATTTTTATCATAATTCCTTTCAGACATCTGTGGTACCAGTGCCATGCATAATGTTTGTGATATCATTATCTGGCAAATTTTACCAGCACTTCAAGAACCACATACATGTATGCCAGAATTGTCTGAGGTGATATGAAACCTCTTTTAAATCCATTGACAATAAAATCTTGATATTGCTATAGTCAAAAAAGAAATATGATATAACAATTAGTTATCATTTCACTGGATAAAATATAAAATTTAGACAAAACTTGGCAAAATCACACACAAACATCTGCATAAAAATCAGATCAACATATTTCGTTAAACACAAATACTGTGAAAACTTTAATTTTTTGGGGGTATCAAACAACATGGATTCCTTATTTTTGGTGTTCCAAGGCCGACCTATCCATGACAATTGATCCACCACAAAAAATACTGTTTTCACAGTAGAAGGAACATCAGATAATCTTACATTAATTCTCAATACAGCCAAGATATAACATTTCAAAAATACAATTATTTTGGTGAACTAGAACTGTTGTATATTAATACTTGTTGGACATAGGCAAGATTTTTATAATCACAGTATATATATATATAACTAGTAGAAAGCTCTATGAGGGTGTATTTTGATATAAGATATAGATTCTAATTGAAAACATGCATAAATATACAAAACATTACATAACTACCTTACTGTTCAGTTGACAATACTTATGTACAAACATACAATACAGTCCTCATTGTCCATGAAAAGGACAGATGCGCTATTTTTGGGGTTGATTTAGGTCTTGAATGTATGTTAATAGTCTTGTAGAAATGTATGAATAATTCCTTCAAACTAGGAATTTCACTTACTGGATTTGAAGGTTCAAATTTTGCAGTGATCACTATTACTGACTAGCATTGATAAATTACTTTTATTCTTCCTCAAGTTCAGTTAATCAGTACTGAAGAAGCCAATTCTGTGTGTGGACTTCTTAAAGTTTTAATTGAACATAGATACAGACAAACAAAAATATACATTATGTATTTGCACATCTGAGTCCCATTCAAAAAATAAACATGAAAAGTCCACTTCATTTTTGGGTAAAAAAAATAGAAATTGAAACTAAACAAGCTAGACTTATTCTGTCTATTACTACATTAACTATCTACAATTTTATTCAGCTACATGCATTCATATCTTTTTGATTGAACATATACTGCAATGAGACATTGTACATAAATATTATCAACTAACCATAGCTCTATAGACAAATAATACAGTGGTTTTTGGCAGCATTATAAATTGGATGATTTTTGATGGAGATGACAAAATAAAAAAAGAATATAAATTGGAGTTCTATTCTCAATAACGAATGTTATATGATATGACTATTTATTATTGCCATTAGAATGTTTTGATTTGAGACATATTTTGTTTATAATATATTTTTTTAAAAGGATACTTCCTCTTAGATTGGACATCAAATTTAAAGTCTCAAACTTGATCAACAAGTGTATATATTCATCAGTTGGACTTACTAGGTGTCATGACTAAAGAATAGAATCTCTATATAAGGCAATATATCTATTAAACTCAATAATTATTGAAACATGCTTCTAAACTTGTTTTATAATTACAAAGTTTAATGACTTATTACTTAGTTTTATGGATTTATTGGATTATATAGGAATACTTTTGTATAGTTTAAACACCAGGTAAGTTCACTGATGAACAAAGACTCATTTTTACCAAGTTTTAAAACTTTCAATTATTTGGTCATCCTAAGAGTTAGTATATACCTTTAATGATGGCTAATAAATCTGGATAGAAACATAGAAAAAGTGAAGAAATATAGTTGTAATTAGATTGCATTACAATAATAAGCGAGATGTTTATTTGTGACTAAATATATGTATATATATAATTCCCTGAAACCATTGATAAACTAGACTGATATAGATTAATCCAATGTTATTAGCCACCATATATATTTTTTATATCTGTTTTGTGCTTTAAGAATGTCGCTTGCAATTAGACATACATACAATAAAGGTTGGTACAAAATGAAAGGACATAATCATCTGAATAATTGCTCAATTTTAGTTATCCTTGGCACTTTACATCAAATATATTCCTGTTATTTTTGACAAGGGTCAAATTCAAGCAACAAGCCACAAATTCATTTCAAGAAAATGCCAAACCTTATTATATATATTTATTGAACATCAAGCTGCATGTTTCCAAGTTCTTGTGTTTCTAAATATATTTCAAGAACATAACTTAATAGAAACTTTTAAATAAAGGAGATTTTTGGCAATAAATTGACACAGTAAACTAAAAAAATATTTTCACAATAAATGCATTGCACCAAGACCAAGTCAATCTAAAATCTTTCTTTTGAAGCTGATATTCCACAAAATAATACTCAGTAAAATTTGATTTACAAACATTATTGAAAATTTTCACTGGATACTGTTCTTGGCTAGGTGGAAACAAGCATGACATTGTAAAAATATAGAATAAAGACTAGACAATTCCTGAAAGTAATTTAAAATCGTTCTGGTGAATCACCATTAGTATGAGTGTCTGCAGGATTATCACCCATTAATTTTGCACCATTAATACCACGAACAGAGACTCGACTAGGTCGGACTAACAAACCATGATCAGGACGACAAGTAAAATATCTCTTTCCTTGTACACTTCCATCATTCTTCCCTTTAGCTGTTCTTAATTCAACACCTAACCAATTACCATCACCAAATTCTGTAGGTCCAATATACCTTATAACGCCTAAAATATAGATAAATATAATATAATTTCCAATATATCAGATAATGCCTAAAATATAGATAAATATAATATAATTTCCAATATATCAGATAATGCCTAAATATAGATAACTATATAATTTCCAATATATCTTATAATGCCTAAGTATTGATTAAATATAATATAATTATCAAAATATCTAATAATGCCTCAATATAATAAGAAAATATTAAAACAGTGAGAAATTATAAAGAGATACAGTGAACAGAAGAGAAAATATACAGCAATCTTATACTTACCTAATTCATTATTACACAAAACACTCATATTGACTTCTAATTTTAAACTTATACTAGAACCTGGTGTACGGGATATTGTTTTCAAAGTTGATTTTGGTCTAAAAAATAGAAAATAATCCTTGAACTTGTACTGAATAAATTTTTAAATAAGGGGACAGTCATAACTTTCCTTACATTGAATGTAGTACCACAATGGGTTGAGTAGGCAAGCTTTAAAATAACATTAGCTGTGAGCTAATTCCCTTTTCCATCAAACATATAGTATACAGATTTTGGTCAATACTGTAAAAACATATCAGATCATAACTGCACTAGCAACAACTTTTGGGCTTTTTGGACTTTTAATAAAATTACTTTTAAGATAATATATATATATATATGTGATACATACGTTTTTGGTGATTTAACTCTGGGAGTTGAGATAGAACCTAAAATAAGAACATGAAAATCACCATATTTTAAAATTCAACATTATGTATAGGCCAATAATCAATGTCCTTTCAGTTATTTCTCTATTTTCATCATGTAAGTTCCACTAAAAGATTACTGTGGGAGGTCGCATTGCAATTTGTTGTATGGTAAAAATGTATGTCCACTGTTTTCAAGGAGATTTACATGATAGGGGTTGAAAGTAGACACATTGCCAACTGTCAAAAGCACTGGCCTTGGAATCAGAACTTTGGGTAAAGCTCCATGGAAGTAAGTTGAAAGATTGAGTACCTAGCGATTTTCTGTCCAGTCTTTCTGAAACAGCACCCCAACTAATAGTATCTAATGATTCATTGGAACTGAAGCCTCGATCACCAAGTCTAAATGTATAATAAAGTTACAATAAAAATCAATATATCTACAAACAAACAGGCACATAAAGATTGAAAGATTTTTTTGCCCTTATATGTCAAGCCATGACGCTAAGGCATTTCAGATCTGAAGCCTGTGATTTCTGCAATTCCAAAAACTTGATCATTGCAAAAACCAAACTGACTCGATATCATAATCTGATTTTGACAATTTTTTCAGGCATTAAAGGAATCACAGACATCAAATGGGAAATCATAATGTCGCAAAAAAAGAATGTCTTTTAAAGCTATTTATCAATATAGTAACAATGGACTTGTTGATTTAAAATGACCTACTTTACCTTTAAAACATTCAAAAACCTCAATATCAGCTGAGCTTAATATCAACATTAGTTAAAAAAGGAGATCTTTAGTGTAGTGTAGAGTAGCCAATGTTTATATTTAGATACACTTTGTTTGAAGTAAACAATTGATAAAAGTGGACACACAAACAACGAAACATTGTTAACTGTTGTATGTGAAACACAAATTTTCCATTAGTTCATAAGGCTGTAGAACAAGGCCCACAATAGATCACATCATAATCAGAACTAAAAACACATCATACTGTAATAACCTAAGTGAGTTGTGTTACTTACATGTACCCAATTTATTCTACCTCATGATAAATTTTAGAATTTCAAAAGCTTAGAAGCCAATTGAGATATTGTGAAACAAACTTTACTCATCTGAGGTGCTATTTTCATCAAAAAAGCATTACAAAAATAGGATTAAACTTGCAGCAAAATCACACAAGATATTACACATGGAACCACACCAAAACAATATACATTATGATATATCATGATCCAAAACATGCTACTTTAAAATCCGTAGATAACCCACCAACACCATTTATATCACAGCATTTTCATTTCAATAAATACATTGCCACACTCTATGTAACTATTATATAGTTTTTATATTCCTGATATAATGATATCTGACTAATAATCTGTACCTCTAGTTGCCAGTAATATTCATGCTTAAAAATACTTATAAATATATCCAGGCTATAATATAAGTATTATCCCTACTTGAAAATAAATAATATATCCCTAAAAAAATATCCCTACTTTACAAGAGTTATATCCGTCCTCAAAATATATACCCTTATCCTATAAATATATCCCATAATCCATAGCCAATAATGAATATATCCCTATCCGATATACTGCCTGTATCCCTTATCAATTAGTAGGAATTAAATGAAAATCCACTCAATATCAAATAAAACAAAGCTAAACTATAAAAATAAATACATATCTTCTTCTATTATACCTACAAAAAAATGACAACATTCTCAAACATAACATGCAAATGTCAAGATGCTAAATTTTCAGATTCTAGACTCATGTACAAAATGCAACTTACAAGTAAATAAGACTTTATTACATCATCTTCACAATGTCAAGCTTTTACGCACTTTGTCTTATACCTTGACTACTATAGTCAATATTCTTGTTTCACTGAAGGCAGCAATTTGATAGTATTGTATGCCAGCAAATATAGTCAATCAGAGCCCTTGACAGAAAAACTATTTACATTATGGCTTTGTGTTCACAGACTTTCTGTCGGGGTCTCTGATTGGCTGTATTCCCTAGCGTAAAATCCAATTAAATCGCTTCATTTACAAACTTCATGATTTAAGAAAGGTGACTTTAGCAGTCAAGGTATAAGTTTGTAGTTTGTTTGACATTGTCAAGATGTTATTACATATGAAATAAATATCTATGATATCTGAAAGAAACGTACTTCTGAATTCTGGAAAGTGGTGCAAAGACGCCATGGCGAGGTTGACAAGTGAAATACCTTTCACAAGATACTGAGCCATCATTTTTTCCTGCCGGTTTATCTAATTCTATACCATACCATGTACCTAAAAAAGAAGAAAGAAACATCTATATATAACAAGGATAACAAAATTAAAGTGAGCATATAATTTGAATTATTGCGATGAGATAATTGATCTAACATGCTGTGATTACTGTTATTTAACAAAAATTATTTTGACAAAAAATACATAAATCAAGATTAATGAATTATATAGATTAAAAAAAATATTCAGTGATTTAGATCATGAATAATCATAAAATAGAATGATTACAACTAGTGAATTCGCTGTAATTTAGTTGTAAATATTTGAAAATGCTCTTATCAGAGAGAGAATAACCACCAAAAAAAAATTAATTTTTCTATTTATTCTATTTGATAATGTTGTTGAACTTTTCAAATTCAATTTGTAATCAGGATAATAGCTTAAAAGATTAGCATTGCCAATATTTGACCTTCACACAAACGACCTTAGTTTTTATTATCTATTATACAGTTTACTGTGACATTTTTTCCTACTAGTACCAATAATGACCATTCCTGGTAGTATTAGACAGAAATGTCCATCAGAGTGGTACCATTTTGCATGATTTGATACTATAAAGAACTTTTTCATAACAGGTTTAAGGTTTGTACATACCTGAAGCAAATTTTGTTTCGCCAATAAATTTGACAGTTCCCTTTCTCTGTCCTGCTACTATAACCCTCTCTTCTAGATTTATATCACCTAAATCACCAATTGATGAGGCTCTAGATTTACTTAATCCTGCAGAGAGATAAGAATAATTCCATACAGTGATTAAATAACATGCACTGGGGGCAGCTATAGTAAATTTCATTGTCCTATCGAATATGAAGTAGGCTGTGCATACCATTTAAGATTCCCCAAAACCAATATAATTTTGGTCTAATACACTTTAAAAGAATACTGACTCTTAGAATGGTCTTGGTCAATATATCATAATCTCTGAGACAATATATCCATTAAACTAAATAATTATTAAAACACTCTTCTAAGTATGTTTCAAAATTACTTAGTTTAATGACTTACTACTTAGTTTAATGACTTACTACTTAGTTTAATGACTTATTACTTAGTTTAATGAATTATTACTTAGTTTAATGAATTTATTGGATTATATATAGGGATTCCTTTGTATAATCATGACTGATGAACTAAGACAATTTTTACCAAGTTTAAAAATTTCAATTTTTTGGTCATCCTAAGGGGTAATATACCTTTAAATTATTCATATTTTGTAGCCAATTAGCCTTTTATACAGAACGGTAATCATCTCGCAATGAAATTCAAATTATTAAACATAGAAAAGAGCCAATTTGATAGTTGTCATTAATTCTTCAAAACTCTATTCAAATAGCCATTTCATTCCATTGAGTGGTATAATTGAGTTGTAACGGAAATTTTGAGAGGAAATCAATTTTCTATTAAATGCGTGCTTCACTATCTATCCAATCTTTCATCCATATTGATATTTTCATCTTGTAAAATACATTTATTGTGTGAGTTTGCAAATGAGAAATTTTGTGTAAACTTTGAAGATGCAAGTCAATTTCAAAAGCCAATAAGCTCTCTGTTTAGAAAAGGTTTGTAAATATAATGTCAGCAACATAAAATGATATCTATATTTCAAGAAGAAATCGACCTGCCGGTCTTAATATTAGGTAAACTATTTCTACAATTGTGCTGATCAAAATAGTAATACTGACTTCACTATCTTTACTTCTCTTCCATTTTAAAACAAACTCTCCTTTCCCTATCCCCCATTTTTGGTCATATCTGTGTAGGTAGATCAAAGTCAAACTGCATAGTACAAATGACAGTGAACCTTTCTTTTCTACCCCAATTATAAATGAGCAAGGCCTTAATAAAATTTCAGAGAAAAAACAACATGTTATAAATTTTATATGATTTTTATGTCAAAAGACATAGGTCTTCATGATGAAAATATATATTTTTAAATGCTATTTACATTTTTTTAACAAAAACTAACAATATCTGATAGATGGTCAACAAAACACATGAAAAAAGTCAAACAAAGATATTTTTACTCATTCAGGTCCAATTTATACATGAACGAGAGCAGTCCACTTTCATTTTGGGTAGAATAAATAGTATAAGAAACTATGCAGACTAAACATTAAGAAGATTACTGCTTAAACTACCCAAAAATAAAGTAGACTGGTCGTGTTTATGTTTTGAATGATAGTACCTGGATATGCATCAATATCTTTGTTCAACTATAGATGACAATGTTCAATTTAAAATTTCACAACAAAATATGATCAGATCAATACATTATTATATCAAGCTATTAAACAAATAGAAATTTCGTTGGTCCAATATCAGCACTAACATGAAAAGGATAGATTTTGAATTATTAGCTTTTCATGTTTATTGAGATCACTTTCAGCTATCTGTAGCACTTTGAAAAGAAAACTTGACATCAGGTTTGTGGCCAAATTAACATATTATCTAAATATACAGACTGTCAACAATGGCCACTTCTGCTGTTATCTTTTCAGAAACCTAACCAAATTTTGTCTAAAAAAAAAATTTCAGATACAGTAGCTGAAACTGAGTTCCACAAGTTTGAAAAGCAACCAATTCTATGACTTGATCTAAAGCATGGTATTTGGCATGTTCCAATTCCAGTCTGCACATTACAAGTTGCATATTTTAAAATACTGAAAAGTATTATCTCTAAAGCAGCAACATGTAACTATTGAGAGAATATATTTATATCTTCACAATGGAAATAGAAATAAAATAATATTCTCAAATTCTTATCTGGTTAATTTTGGCACATAAAAGAAAGGTTGTAAAACCAATAACATAGCAGATAAATTGAAAGCTGTAAACAACTTATATGCCAATGTGCAGGAATTATCTTTTCAGGTAGATCACTGCATATGCTGATCTCTCTGTAATGGATGTGCTATGAAGAATTGCTTTTTTAAGAGATCCAATTTCATTTCTGACGTTTGTGGTTCCTACAATTTCAGAAAGACTTGAGCATTAGCAGTATCACAAAATACTTTTGAAATGTTTTTGGTATTTACTATACACTAAAAACATCATAATCTGTCATAATCTGGTCAAGTTTATCTGAAGTTGTAGAAACAACATGAAATATTGTAAATATAAAACTTCCAATCCTTTGAATTTATACAATGAAAGGTATATTTTGTGATATTATTCAAGATCTAATTATTGTACCAATCAAAGAATAAAAATTCTTTAAAAAATCTATCATTAGAGCTAACATCAATTTATAAACAGTCAGAGATCACATTGCCTACATCTAAAAGTATTGATATAATACTTTGTATTGTCTCAGAAGTGTTATGCATTTCAGAAAGCAAGACACTTTCTTCTCACATGCAATTTCAACACTAGTTTCCTCAATAAGGAGGACACGTAATTCCATATTAATAATATGGATACATCTTTTCAAACACCATAATTTCATGTACTAAGAATTATCTCTTTAGTCTTTGCGCACTGCAAATTAAGTAGTATCGCGTATACATTAAAGTCAGTTCTACATGCAGAAATAGCCGATGAAAATCATTACACATCCAATTCTTGGCTTTCTTCATTGCACAACAATCCGTAGTAGAATTTCATGGCATGACACAAAATGAATCAATTTTCGATGGAATATATGGCACATTAAATGCTAGTTTTTTAAATTAAGGATGGAATTGTTAGAACTAGAGGAGGGGGACTGTGACTGAGAATTTAGGGTTTCCTGTTCATCTAAGGAAGATTCTGTTTCTGCTTCAGCATCATCATTTGGTTCAAATCCATATTCGTCCATTGGATCAAAGTCACTATTATCCTCTTCACTCATTCCCATTTCAAAATCGTTCATAGCTTGCACTCGCAGATCTGTAATTTCGTCGGCTTTGTTGGCCGCGTATTCATAGTACATATTTCTTACTCCTTCAGTGACCGCCATGCGCAGTCTCAACGAATATCTAAACGATCTATGATTTTCACGACTGGCTTTATCATAACGCTTCGCCATTTCATCCAAACGTCTATTTAACTGCACAATTTGTTCACAAGCCTTTCGGAAATATCTTTCAGCGTCCATAAGTCTCGTTTGAACATCGGAAGACATCTTTTTAGGCCTTTCTCTTTCCTCAACACTGCCAACAGTAGTACTTGCCATTGATGGGCCGGAGTTATTTTTGGATATCCGCCTCTCACAGAAAACTAATGACCTCTGATACAGTTGGCCAAACCATTTTGAACGAAAGGTGTGCAAAGAACTTCTAACAATGGCAAAGGATTACGAATCGATTTACACCTTCGTAAATCCCTCGGAATAAATTAGTGTATTACTCATCGAAGAAATGTATTTAATCCTAAAAGGAAAGACGGTGTTTTGATAGCAAAATTAAAACTAACTACTGTCTGTGACGCCTTCTGTAATGGATTAGTCCGTTAGGTTATTAGGTCAGTAGACTCTGGCCAATCACATAGCGTGTGTTGAAACAACAAGGTATTTCTTTGTGTCAACATTGAATTACAAGAAATCGAAAGTTGTTTTAAACCGAATGACAAGACCCAATTCAAATTTGCTAAGGAATCGAATCCGCAAATCGATTATTTAAATACATTTCTGCAAATGCATTTATCTCACCAGCTGATCAAAATAGACAAAATTAGGTCAGAAACACTCCTTGCTAAAAAAACAATGCAGGGGATATGAATAGACCTAATCTCACTCAAGCCTTGAAATATGAAGATATTTTGATGGTGCTGTTATTTAAGAATTTTTTAGACTTGTCGGGGTAGTTCTCTGCAAACTAAGCAATAACTGATAGCAATAACCATATATATCCTTCTTTTCATTTTCGTCAGCATGACAATTTCTGCCAAAATATCTCAAGGCTTACTGGAACCGGTGAAAATAATTGGTCAAGAAATACCTGTTTATTTCATATATTTTCAAATAGCATTTATTATTAAAGGCCGTGTTTGCCATTTTCAGGGGTTTTCACTATGTTTAAATATATAGTCTTCAAAGGAACTAGAACTGTAAATAAATCACTTAATTCTCTCAAATATACCTCAAACCAGAAACTTCATTTTCTATTTCTATAAATGTCTTTTCTATGTATGGAGGAGTCTGAAGAGAAGGCGAGTTTGCATTTTAACCTCAAGTTTTAATCTGGGATAATTTAGAACACATATGGATTTGACAGCTCAACAATATTACTGATTAGCTTAGCTAAAAAATTCCTGTTTCTGACACTAAGGTATGATTGGTCGGACGGATGGTATATCTATCGCTTTAATTTGAAGATGGGTTTGTAGCTCTCTGGGTTTCATTCTTTACTTGACATTATTTGCTTGGTAAGTCAAACAAATGGGTTTTAACCCTGATCAGCATGAAAATCTTATGACCTTGAATAAGTCACGTCTCATTATTCGAGTTGACCCAGCTGAAAATGGGTACAGATAAGCCAAGAAAGATCCATGCCATAGGTTTGGCCAAACTGGTAGATAGAATCCATGGGAACCCAAGCTTCTTTTCTTTTAAAATAAAATACCCTTTTCTTATTTAATATAGTAGAGGTGATTATTTTTAATACCTGTTTTACATTACATGTATATTTCACCAGTTGAATATCAAAAGTGATCCATGTCGGGGTAGTTCCAGTGATCCATGTCAAAATGGCAGATGGTTTTTTTTCCAAGTTGAAATTCTTTGAAATGCGACTAATTGAGATATTTGGAATTGCCAAAGAACTCAGTGAGTAGACTTGTTACTGCACATCAAACTTTAGCCAACTTGCTTACTGCACATACAGACATATTGTATAAACTAGTAGGGCCTACGAGTTAGCAATGTTTGAACTATTTTCATATTTGGTCACGTTCAATACACGTCATTTACATAGATCATATTTAATTTACATGTAGGCACATAAAAATTATTGATTTGTTGTATGTTTCTGAAATAATATTAATGAGAAACCTCTAAACTATATTTGATGATTAGGATTATCTATTGATGTAGACAAACATACAAGACGCTACATAAAAACTCTGGGGTAACATTACAACACAAACATATAGATGAATAAGATGATTATGTTTACATGGCAGCAGTCACAATACCGAGTGAAGTTCACGCTTGATCTCTCAGCCCAGTATCTTTTCTGTTCATGTGCAATATAACACATATATACATCTCATGTCAACAAAACCTTTGCAACGAAATCTTACCTTTTTCTTTGTAAATTTATACGACACAGTATAACTATTTCTTTAAATATATGGATGTATTTTGCTTTTACTCCTGTCTCAGGATGGCTTACAGTCTATTTTTCTATTACACTTTTAAGTATACTATTCCACTGTACTAATTCAGAGGAATTTCAAATCTAGCACACATGTCTTTGATTCATTGTCTCATCGGAACATTTGATCCATATCAGCCTCTCGTACTGCATCACTGACAGGGGAAATAATTGAAAGGTGTTATCTTGAACTAGGCTGGGAATGAGCTCTGGTTGTTCAGGTTGGTGCTCAAGAGCCTAACTCTCTGAGCCACTTTAACTCCCAAGTAGTTCAGAAAGCAAATCATACCAAAATATAACACTTAAACCTACCTGTATCTACTTTAGCTGTCACATGATCAACTTTTACTACAGCTGGTTTGAATAGGGACCTTAATGGTGACCCATTGATAGATCTTGATATCGCATTGACTGCACCAGGTTTAGAGATTTTATTTATTGGGGCAAATATACCTTTAAAAAGAAAAGAAATTACCAAGACATTCAGATATTTAAAAAAAAACCCTTAAAAATCAAAGATTAAAATGCAGATCTAGATTTTCGTTACTATTTTGAACTATCTCGACAGAAATGATCTGAAGAAACTTTACTGAAAGCAATTTAAAGAGTTTTTAAAGTTTTTATCTGTATCACAACATTGATAGCTCATCGATTTGCACCAATCTACTTTTCAGTCAGACATCAATGGATGTTGCAATTTCACTTAAACTAAGTGTTTTATTTTATCACAAAGGTCTTTAAACGTCATTATCAGTTTTTGCAATAGTGACTTAACATATGGTTCAGAATTTCTATAATTAGACATCTGACAGCAAATAGGAATGATGCAAATAGATGCCATACAAGGCTCTAACTCAAAAGCTATACAACCACTTTAGTAGGATTTTGCCCAAGGTGCATACAAACTTCTTATGGAAACTTGTTAACTCACCATGATTTTGAGGACATTTAAAATAAGAAATTCCACCAATGGAACCATCATTTTTCCCTACAGGTTCATCTAACTCGATACCAGCCCATACACCAGACGCAAATTCTGTTGGTCCACAATATTGTAGTGTCCCTGTCTAAAAAAATTGATATACAAATGGTGTATAGAAATATTAAAGTAAAATCTGAAACATGTTGTTACCTCTAGTTCTATGCTGTACATATAAACTTCAGACAACAGATCTATATTGCTAAAAATCAAATATAAAGAAAAAGTAAAATCAAAATTTGCAGACAATCACAGCTCAAAATTGCTGATAGCAGTATTATCTATCAAAAGCATCTATCTACATTTGGATATGATTCAAAACGTAAACACAAGCAGGTTATCATATTTTGAGGGTGTTTAAATGTTAACTAAAACACCATTCTTTACTTAGACAATAGACTCTTCTAGTGTAGATCTCAAATCTACATAAATATCTTTGTCCAACTATGTGTATATAAATCTACATGGGAGAGGGGACTGATATGAAAAAGAGTCTAGTCGTTCGCATGGGACAGTATCCATTTGCACATTAAAGATCCATTGACAGTTGGAAATCAAAAAAGAGTAAGCTAATGCTGCTGTCCAGGCAAAATTTCCTGCATTGCCAACTTCATAGCGTTTGCTCACAGTGCAGAAATTAAGAAGTAAAACTCCATTCATTTCATATCATTATTTCTACTCAGAAACTCAATGAACAATATATGTCTTACCTTTGTTCCCCCAACCACTATATTATCACCTAACTTTAATCCTAAAGCTTGTAATGTCACTTTACTTTGTATTAAATCATAGTTAGGTGGTGGCTGTTTAGGGCAAACTGGAGTAGCTTCTAATAATGTCTTTTTAACTTTCACTGCTAATTTAGCCATATCAGAACTTTGGTCAAAACTACTAGAATCAGGTACACAATCTGAAATATTTAAAAAAAATAAAAAATAAAAAATAAAAAATTGAAAGTACTAAGTTACTTGAGAATGGCTACAGGTACTTTATATAAATTCTAACTGTAAGCAAAATAAATAAATTTGTATAAAACCAACATTCAAAACAGTTCACATAGACTGTCCTTTGATATATGAGTATATATATATAAAGGTATTGCCAATCATGCCTAAGCTAATTGAGCTACATTAGGATATATGTATCACAATAGGATATGTATCGCAATAAGATATGTATCACAATAAGATATGTATCACAATAAGATATGTATCGCAATAAGATATGTATCACAATAAGATATGTATCACAATAAGATATGTATGACAATAGGATATGTATCACAAGATATGTATCACAGTAAGATATGTATCACAATAAGATATGTTTCACAATAGGATATGTATCACAAGATATGTAATATCACAATAGGGTATGTATCACAATAAGATATGTATCACAATAGGATATGTATCACAAGATATGTAATATCACAATAGGATATGTATCACAATAAGATATGTATCACAATAGGATATTATGTATCACAATGGTGTATTGGGAAAAAAAAAGCATCACTTTAACATCGAAGTTTCAATGAATATTTATAAATGTATATTTGTGGATAACATAATTAGTGCCCGATTTAAATGCACATATGGTATATTTACATTCAATTTCTTCCGTATTGGGTGAGATGTAAGTTCACAGTCTTACAAAAGGACTATATGCAAATGGGGCATGTTATGTATCGTGCAAGCAATAGTAATTTTGGATCCACATATTTAAATTGTTTTCAATTCCTTTAAAGTAATTGAAATTTTATTATTCTTACCAACTGGTAATCTATTGAGATCATCTTGTAAACTGGGATTAGCTCCATTATGTAGTAAAACTTTGATAGCTTCGTGAGCTAAGTTAGATGCGGCTATATGTAACACTGTACCTTGGTCAAACTCTGCACAAGGACTATCAATATCTAAAATAGTTTTAAAGAGACAGGATATCAGGCTTAGTCTTGACATAAGAAATAAAAAAAAGATTTCTGAAAAAAGCTGGAATCATGCAAGCAGCAATTGGCAAATCATCGGTATGGTAAAATAAGATGGTGCCAATTTGCCCTTGTGAGGGATGGGATGTAAACCATTGAAATCTTAATTTTATAGAGAATTTAGCTGTTTGCTTTAAAAATTGTCATTATTGCTTACCCAATGCATTTGTGGCTTTAAGTAGAACTTTAATAACAGGAACAACATCAAAGTAAGCAGCATAATGTAAGGCTGTCATAGTGGTCCATCTACAACGAATATTAACATCAGCACCTTCTGATAGAAGATAGGATACAACTTTAGCTGCTAGATCAGCATCACCCATTCCTGCTGCACCAGATTTACTAGCATAATGTAATAATGTCATATCTGTTAACCCATCTCGATCATTAATATTAGCACCCCTTTTTATTATCTGAAAAACAGTAAGAACACATTGTTATCATCAGAGAGAGTCTGTGTTGAATGGACTTTAAGGCAAAGAAAATGAAGCAGTAGTAAAAAACAATTTCATTGACCACAGAACATGTTACTGCCATTGTCTGCAGAAGTGATGTTCTATTCTATTCAATCTGAAAGCTTCTTTTTAAGAATGCCAAAAACAGACCAAATATCCAGGTTGATTAAAATAATGCTTTGGTGTAAGTCTACTTTCAATGGAGGATAACAAAATTTGACAAAGGAACGGACAGATCTGTTTCGTTATACAATGTTTAATCTTACCTCATTCACAAGCAGTTCTATGTTATGTTGGGTCTGTGGTGTCCATTGGCGTAGAATAGCAAATATTTCTGGTACTGTAGTGTTTGGGTTTAACAAGATATCTCGACAGTCTGGACATCCTGGATCAAAGAAAGACAACTCTTGTTTCTGACAACAATGACATAAAGGTGGATCCACACAAGGGTGAATCATTGGTTTTTCCAATGGTGGTAGATTCAACTCCAATGGTGATATGCCAGATATGTTACCATCTTCTTCTAACGTCATTCTAAAAAAAATATATAAGCTTATATAACATAAAGACGTCTTTTAAAAAAAAATATTGCGATTTTCTTCAAAAATCTTTTTACAAAATGAAAAAACGAGGCAGTGTCATCAGGATCTCTAGATGTATAGGAATACAGTGGTGGAAGTTGACAGAGCCCAATTTGTCAGAATTAAACTCTTGTGTCTTGAATTCTCACATGCAGATATCTGACTTTGACAATATGTGCTGTCAGCTGAAATTCTGCTTGATCCGAAAATTTTAAGATGACTATATACATCCCTTTATATGTGTTATACAGTAGCTTGAAAAAAAAAGAATTTTGGTAGGTAATAATAATCTTCAAGCAAACTAATTTTGATAATATAAAAGGATGGCGGAAATATTCTGCCATTCAACAACTACCCTTTTCTTCAACTGATTCTGATCTCCCCTTAAACTATGTTTGGCATTTGGCATCAAAACAAGACATTTATAGACAAAGTTCCTTATAGGCATTACAAACAAAAACATCACAGTACATCTTTCATTGATTATATCAACCCTTTTAAAACTAGCCACATAATTTCCTGATATTATACTTGAGCTGATATTATACTTTAGCTGTGAGTGAAACTGCCATTTCCAAGTAAGGTCACATAAATACATGTCATATGTTGCATAACTTGTATTACACATGATCATGATTTTATTATATTTACACTCGGAGCTTCAGAATGTAAGAGCAGCTTATTATAGTTAGTTATGTGTCTTTTTCAGGACATGTATATACGCTTATTAATAAACACAATGAATATTTAGATGTGTTTTTAATAAAATTCAAACGACAATCAGATGTTTCAAATAATACACTAGAATGAACAATAATGGAATAAAACTAATATGATGAGTCACTGATGAAAATGGCAAGACAAATCATGAGTAAGCTAAAGTTGTGGAATAGATATTGTCTTTAAATCAACGCAAAAGCTAATATGATAGGGTTAGGTCAAGAAGATCATATAGCATGAAACTCTGAGTAACAACATGTTTTTTAGGTTCTGTTTTAATATTTCTAAGTTTATATGATAGATAGATATTAAGACATACACCGGTATATATATATGCTGTTGAATGTGACTTTGTACAGTATGTATCATATCAGCTTTCAGTATAGTATATCCAGTACAAAGGCACAGAGTCAATAAAATTGTTACCTATTCTTTTTTGGTACTAAAATATAAGTTACTCAATAATAACTGAACAAGTTCATAACTTACTTGCATCTGCGACATAATCCAAAATTGTTTATAATAGCCTTATTCCTAATCAGATACATTATGTGTTCTGTTATTGTGATTCAGGAACATATTACTTTTATAAAATAATTTGTATGGTCTTTCATATCAAAACATTCCAGTGTATTTCAATAAGTTTTCACTAACTGCAATCTACATGCACACACCATTCTGCCCAGTCAATATTATGAAAGAAGTTTCAACTGTAACACTTTACTATCCAATATAAGCCTATACTAGAGTAAACCTATTTAAATAACAGTCTTAGGATATAACCTCTCATGGTTTATATCTTATCTAACATCAAGTCAAGAGAACTCTTCAAGATTTATGACACAATGCATGTAAAAGAAAAGAAATTCCAAGTTATGTTCAACTACCATGTAAAGTTTTTCTGGACAAAAGATCAAAGCTTAATTCAATAACTTCAAAGAACTAAAATTTTATTGATTGCAAATTAATTAATTAATAATCCAAATATATTTTGAGTCAAATATTAACAGAAGAACACACAATCCAATCTTCCCTCAGGAAAATCCAAGCAGCACTATACTAAACTATTAATAAGTGTAGTAATTTAGGACAATGTTAGGTCTAAAATATCTAATAATGTAGAACTTGGTAAAGCTTGATTGATTTTATGGTCTAATCTTATCAATATATATGGTCTAAAGAAATCAGTTACCAGTACCTACTAAGTTAATCATACTAACTCATGCATACAGAACAAAATGTAATAAATCACCACAATTACCAATTAAATTGTAATAGAAGGCCTGTATAATTTCAAAACTGTTTTAAAATAGAGTAATTAGTACAAACTTAAATTAAATGAAACAAATGGAATTTTACTAAGCTTGGCAACAAACTTAGCAAGCACTAAGGGGATATACTGGCATCAGAATAAATACTGGTAGGGAATTTATATCAGTAATAAATTTCTACCGTTAGTAATAAAGCTTGATAAAAAAAAAAATATCACAATATCATGATTATGATAGTTCTCATGATGTAGTGATCATCAAATTTTTGTCCAGCTAATATCATCTAAAAATAAATATATAAAAAGTAGCAACTTCATGTTTGAAACAGATGTTTTTGGGTTGTTTTTTAAAGATTTTTTTTTGTTTTTGTTACATTTAAAATGAAAAAGAAAAAAATATTGCTTCAAAAACTAATAAAACCCATAAGCTTACAGATCTTAATAAATAAGCTTTATAGCAAATTGAGATCGATTATCGATGGCAGACTACTGAGCACTAATCAATTAATAATCAAAATAACTCAAACCCTGTAAGCTTAAATACTAAATTTAAAACATGCAAAAATTCTTAATTTCATGGGTTATTTCTGCGTCATAGAAGTATATTCTAGTCTAGCTTTAATCGGTTGGTATGGCTTATTGTAGGTAATACATGTGCTGAAGGGAACCTATGTGGAAGAGATTATTAATTGTTAACAGGTACAGTGGAGAAAATGTAACTTTAACATATAATCGATTATGAAATTTGATAATCAATAATCGAAATTATACATTCATAGCAAGGATAATCGATTATTTCAATCATTTTACCTAGCCCTATCTATACTCATATCGCGATATATTAATGCTTAATATAAGCTTAGCGATATTTACTTGGACCAATATCGCTCAGCCATAGCAAGACCTTTACATGCTTTAACTATTAAATTAATTTATTAAGCCTACAGACTCAAATCAACTGAAATGAAACTTGATACTTTAAAATCCTTCTTGTCTGCATCTGTTTGGGCTAAAGAAGATAGGTAAGACAATTTGAGGATAAAACAAGCAATATAATAGCTCAAAATAAGTATTAATCACCAACACTCAGATATAAAGATGTCTGATTGATATGACAGATTTTATTATTTTTAGGCCAGACCAAATCACGCTACCTATCTTATTTTGTCAGTCACTGTTTTTTTTTTTAAATTGTGGTTCTTTGAAGGAATTGTCACTAGTTATAATAAATTGATATTAAAGATAAATACTAAGAGAAGTTAATTATACCACCCGGTATCCATACAATGTGTTTTTCTAGACTTATTGTCTAACATTATACACGAAAATAGGTGACGCATTCTTCCGCCGTTGCCGAGTTGGTTGCTCATGAAATATGGGTCAAAGTGAAGGATTCATAAAGAAAATCGAAATAAACCAATTTTGATTATTTTGTAGAATATCTGAGGAAACATCTAAGACATAAAAAAAAAATCAGTTTTTTTAATTTACGAAATTCGGTGTTGAATCCTTATATCCACGAAAATAGGTTAAACCACTGTACTATCTACTAGGTAGTTATGTGAATTCGTTGAGGCTAGGCACAGGCATCTGTTTCTATCAATATACAGATGCCTGTATATACTATGTAGATAAAGTCGACTATTGATAGAAACAGATGCCTGTGGGGCTAGGGTAGGGATTGAAAGAAAGAGGCTTGCTTCCAAATGACTAAAAATGTTGGTTGAAGTTTAGAGTTGGCTTTGAGTTGACTGATAAAATAACTCACTAAAATGTGAAAAAACACGACTGTGTGTCAGCGGCTAGAAAACACGATCAAATAAAAACTAAACCCATACCGGTAATAAATGATAAGAAAACTTACGGAATAATTTTTAAAAGTTTTGACCCAATACAAAAACCGGAAGTATCATTTACCCCGATAGTAGATAAACTATATCCACGCAGTATTTCATCCTAGAGTCTCTGGTTGAAGTGGTCATGAATTTAGTCTGAACAGAAATAAACTAATATAAGGATGATAAGAGTCAAGCTATTTTATGTTATAGGTATTTTAAGTTTTGAATTAGTTTAAGAAGAAAAGTCAACGCATATGATCTTCGAACTGTTATGAAGGAAATAGTATACTCCGAGTCGTTTCGAAGTACAACAAACACTAGGGGTCGATTCGTACATTCATAGGAAATCTCAGTCGTCGAATCATTGGTTTAAAAAGTATCAAGGGAATAGGATAAAACTCATTAAACTACGTCTATATGAATAGTATACGACCACCTAAACACTGTACAAATTCCAATCTCAAATTTGCTAGAAAAAATTCTTGCTAGCTAATAGGATATTCCGAATCCTATATAAGGCCTTATATTCTAAGCTTGCTGGATTTGAATAAATTTCACCGGCATTACTTACCTGTCCTAATCCTTAAATGTAATATTGTATTGAAAGTGAAGGGAATTAATCCTCCATTAGAACAAAAAAGTGATCATGTTGGTTAATCCCCGTCGTAATAGCTATTGAATAAACACGGATATAAATGTGCTCCTTATTTAAAGTTACAACCTCAGTTAAGTGTCATTTCCTGCAGACGGTATAATTTGCTATGACGCCTAGAGTTTTAGTGAAGAAATATTTAACTGCGATATTAGATAGCAAGACAAGGTCAATATACACCCTATAAGCAGGCCCGTAGCCTGACCAGTATTCCTGGGGGGCAAACGTGCAATCGAGGGGGGGCCGGCCACTGAAGTAATGACGAAGTGTCAATTGCGGGAAACGGACTTCCATGGAATATTTTAGATTGGAGATTATTTTTGTTAAAACACACAAGTTATAATACGTTACATTTTTATTGCCGTTTTAGTTTAAACGTAGTCGGGTATGTTTTATGGCAAAACGTTGAACAAATACGTCCAAGTTAATTTTGTGGGTTCGCTTCCTGTTGGAGGCAAGAAGAACAAGATTGCGCTGGCGAAGCTGAGTCATAGATCGTCGTTGTGGTGAGTCAACGCGAGTAAGAGTTGAAAAGCTGCTTTCACACACAGCGGTACTAGAACCGAATGTGACAACGCTTGCAGCCAGTGCATATAATTTAGGGAAAGCCAATTTCTGCTCGTATAGTTTTTGAAGAACAAGATTGGAGTCCTGATTTTCTGTCTTGGCAACGTTATCTTGGAGAAATTGTTTTGACACCTCAATTGTTAGGCTTTTCGAGGCCCTTTCCAGTATCACCTTCAGCATGCTTCCAATCTGTGTAGCCTTCAGTGATGAATTTTTATGCACCCGCTGATGTATTGTGAAACACCCGACATGGAAATCAAAAAGGGGTGTCCCTTGACACTGAATACTCCAGCCATGGAAATCGATCATACCAGCTGTTACTAAAATGGCGACCAGACTTCGCTGGAAATTATATTCTATTCTCGGTTGCTTTGGAACGTCTTCTTTTCCAATGTCACCTGGTACTCCTGTCTTTTCAGAGCATCTTGGTACTGCATCCGTTGTGTTGCCCGCTGTGGTTTTGATACCAGTGTCAGTCCCAGTAGTGTCGGAACCATCAAGCAATTTGTCTTTTTTGATCAAATATTTATCCATTTTTCCTACGATTGGTTGTTTGATTCATATGAATACAATTTAGGATAATATATGTCTATTAGTTAGTATTTATAATCAACCAATCAAATCTTTTGAATTTTGAGACGGGACAGATTACAATCCAGTATCAGACCAATAATTTTGTTACCAATGACGCTTTACTGCAGACTTTTTATGATTTTCAACGAACTCAATTGTATCAAATTGTCTATTCTAATGTAATTAAATTTAAAAATGTTATTAAAAGCTATGATGTCTGGTTTCATCCTCAGCTAACTATAAACAGAAAGATATTTAAAAACAGTTCTTAAGTAGGTCTACAGGTAGGAATACTTAGTATTTTGTTGAACCATTTCGCATAACGCAGCACTGAAAGCCATAGCCTTATTTTTATTTACGTATAATCAAACTATCTAAATACTCATCATATGATCGACAATGCAAGAGCAACTGACTGGTGCACTTACTCCACCATAAAATGCCTGACCAGAATGACCACTGTTGGCTATTCATTCAACTCAGTTACCTGCCGCTCCTATTAACTCAGGAAAAAGACCCCCCCTTGGCTACGGGCCTGCCTATTAGTAGACAGGATAAAAGGACTATCGAAGTTATTTCCGAGATTTGTTGACCAATTGATTGTGCACAAGGAAATGTGATAGTCACGTTATATGGGCGATTGTTCAGAGTAGTTTGGTCACATGATAAACGGGTATCTTGCAGAAATTTGGTCACATGATAAACAGGTCACATTAATTAATTTGGTCACATGATAAACGGGTCACATGCAAAAATTTAGTCACATGACAAAGGGTTACATGCAGTAGGCCTAATTTGGTCACATGATAAACGGGTCACATGCAGTAATTTGGTCACATGATAAATGGGTCACATGCAGTAAATTGGTCACATGATAAATGGATCACATGCAGTAAATTGGTTACATGATAAACGTGTCACATTTAGTAATTTGGTCACAAGACAGATTCGGACAGATCATACAAGAAAGATGACTTATTCAAGGATGACTTCTTTCCCATGCCCACCAAGATTAAGACCATTCCATGTCGCTCTTGCATTGCAGAACAGATTGTCTTATGGTAAAACAAGCTCTGAGCCAATTTTTAGGTGTTACAGATGATGATAAGACGATAAACAACAAACACATTACTTCAAATCAACCAAAGACAGTGTTAACTAATTCAAAACAATTCTAGCCTATTGTCGGTTTAGCTGTTGACCCCAACTTTCTAGTCCTGTGTTTGGGATCCACAACAATGTAAAACTCATTAACCAAAAATGTGGTGCAATATCACCTGCAATGATCATTCAAGTTGAAGTATAGATAATATAATAATTAGGTAAGTGAATAGGCTATGGAAAAAAGAGAAAAAAAAGAGCATAAACTCTAATCTATTTTATTTGATAAAAGTATAAGCTATTCTATGTACAAAAATATTGCTTCATTTCTGTGAAATAATGAATATACTATCATTTAACATGAACTCTGTGGTATTTTACTTCTCTATATCCAGTTCAGAAAAACTTTGTTATCTGACTTAGTCAATTTCATGTCCTTGAACTTGCACAGGAAGTGGCAAATGTTCATATTGATATTGGTAGATTCTAAAGCACTGTCAAAGAAAATTAAATATCTCGTATCTCTTTCTTAAAAATTTGAGACTAAATCTCCAACTTTTGAATCTATTCCATTTCAACTACCGGAATATAACTGACGATTTTTCCCACAATTTCCAAGTCTTCTTGGAATAAATGCTTCAGGTCCTTGTTCGTACTATAATTTGCATTGTCCACATGAAGTAGGGAGCCAACCAACATGAAGTCCTATCAAATTAACTGCATTATTCTTATCAAGTATTCTCCAGCATAAAACTACAAGAACTTGATCTGTTGGTTTCTTTACTTCTGTTATCATTAACATTTGATGATTCACCATTACCTGTAATGTATCTCTTTTTTAATCAGTAAAAAAACTTAGGAAATATATTTTTATACCTTTCAACTATCAATGTCACCAAAAGGAACACATTTCATTTTTTCTTGCCAAAGATATAGTAAGACCAATGTGTTTTCATGAGGTTTCTGCATACAATGAGATAACTATTTTTGACCATTTTTTACAATTAATGTGACAATAAAGCCAATTTTGTTCTGGGTGTGAACCTTGATGCCATGGATCCACTTATCAAGGTGTCTCTACTAACTTAAAGGGATTCTAATGATGTTTTCTAAAAAAACAAATGGTATATTGGGGACACTGATAGAAATCAATTTGCACCATTCCAATTAAATGTTTGATGACCTCTTGAAGGGCCATATGTGATATAGCATATTATGTGACATCATCAAGCACTTCTTTTTGTGAAATTGCAGAAACCACAGACGTCTGATTGAAAATTGGAATGGTAAAAATTGCTGCTACCAGCATAATACACATAAAAATATTAGAAAAACCTCTTAACAATCCCTTTAAAGAAAAAGATTTTGGTTCATTTGATTGCTGACAGTTTTCCTTTAAGTTTATCATAAACTACAGACTGACCAGGTGTCAGGTTTATTCTCTGTTAAGTGACACAAATAACTGAAATCATGTCGTACTAACCTGTCTTTTCATTTAGAAATGTTCGATGCATGACTAGAGTTTTTGTTGTTTTACTATGATATTCAACATCACTTACACCAGCATCTTGTTCTGTAAAGTTGAGAAAATAGAAAATACAACGGAAAAAGAAACAACTATATTTTACAAGGATAACAACTTAGGTTCACAGTTAAGGATCCTTTCTACCAGCTGGTCTTTTCTCAGATTATCCGTACCCATTTACGGCTGGGTCAAATGATATTATGAGTGAAGATGATTTATTTAAGGTAATCACATTTTCACACACCAATCACGATCGGAACCCACAGCCGCCATTTGTTCAACGTAACAAAGCAAATGATGTCAGAAGAAGAACTCTCAAACCATATTTTTTCAATAAATTAAATATTCAAAATGTACATGTGGTTCCTTGGTAAAACCAATATTTTAAGAAATATAATAATCTTAATCTCATTGGATAATAAAACTGAATTTAATATTAATCTTAGTAATTGACCAATCAGATGACTGGAATCAAAAGTTAAGATTTAAGAGTAGAGAGGAGCTTAGGGTAAGGTTAAAAGAATTTAAGACTTTCTTTATCAAAGCTTGAATCATTGGGTTGCATATCCTGGGTGACCGCTTGGAACCTCGTATATGCCATATTTGGTCATTTTGACTTTTTGGTACCGCTCGAAAGCTCGTAAAAGCGCTGATCTTGTGATCAAATCCTCGTATTCTTAGCTTGATTGTAAACAACTCAAAAAGCGCAAATTAAATAACACGTATATAAACAGTCAAATTTAAACCTCGTAAAATATATTATTATACAAGGTTCAATGTTCCTTTTTTTGAGCATGAAAATGAAAAACCTTGTATACTGTATTATTATACGAGTTTTTGGTTCAATAGGCCGGAGATATCGAATTGTTATACGAGGTTTATATTTTCCAAGAATGGAAACCACGTATAACAGTAAAAAAAATAATAAAAAAGATTTTAACAAAATATGCGTTCAAATAGTTTTTTGCGTTTTTCTCGAAAACTAATTCCGCGTTATATATCGTTATACTAGGTTTCAAGCGGTCACCTACGATATGTAACTAGTTTTAACAAGGTATCTGATTGGCTATGTATATATGAAACTCTCACAAGACAGATTGAGATAAAATCATGAAAGCTTGCAACAACATGATAATAATGATCATAATTAATCACCTGATTTTTTATTCAACAATAAATATGTACCCACACTATCTTTATATTCTCCACTAAATATATTTGTACCAAGTTGCAGTAATGGTTTTTCTGTATTTATACCCTTTAAAAAAAAAATTAGGTAATAGCATCATACAATTCATATTTAACACCTTTTTATAATAAAACAAACATTGTGGAAAACTTGGATGATAGTAAAAAATCCATGCTTGAATTTACCAACTCTCGAGCTAAAAAATAACGCTGTCTAATGTTTGCAGATAGAGCTAAATTTTAGCTTATTTTTTACAATTAAAATCTTATGCCCTATTCTCCAATATAACAAATAAAATTTTAGTAAATTTTTATGAACAGAAAGTCCCTTGAAATTGCCAAAATTGAGCTCTAAAGCAAATCCTATAAAAAGTGTATTAGATTAGCAAATCAGCTGGGAATTCAAATTTCATCTTGTGTTTGTCATATAACTAGCCATCAATTTATAACTTAATAAATATCTCGCCCCAAGAAATGACATAATTATGTAGCATTTTTCTTAAAGAAGTTTCCATCTTGCGAACATTTCTTTATAAAGATCAATGCATAGTAACAAAACAACATGTTCAAAATCTATAACAACAAATCCAGATTGGAGAATTGAAATATCAACATGACATGCCATATGTAATACATATCTTATTGAATGGCCCTGTTTAATTTATGATAATAAATTAAGCTTACAAGTACTGGTAATATCATTTTGTTATCATATATGGCTATAAGACTTCACTGAGATTTGATGAAAATCAATACTTTTACACAAGTAGCCCTAGTTCACCACTAATAGACAATATCATGAATAGCAGTTAAAATTTGATAGAAATGGATTAAAAAGTGAATTTTCTCACATCATGGATCATATAAAACCATTAGATCACATTGAAATGAAAGTATCTACTTACAAGCACTTTACATTGTACGTTATCTTTTTTCAAAAATTCTGTATCTGTTAACCCATTCAATTCAACTACAACTGTTGTTTCCTGAAAAATAAAATTCAAACCTATCAAAAATAATTTCTTGAAGGAATATTTAACTGAAAAAATAAAAAAAAAACATGTTGGGAGCAGTAGCCCGAAACAGCAACCTAACAAAGCAAGACAGAGAAGAAACTACTATAAGCTTATTTACACTAACTAGTGTAGAGATTGAGATATTACAAAAGGAGTAAAACGTAATATACAGATTAAACATAAAGATTACACTATTTGAAAATTTCAAAATGCGTTGCAGATATTTCACTGAAAAGTTATGATTCAAATTATTTGAAACTCACACTTCCAGTCATTAGAAGTAACAAAGACTGTTTTAATCAAAAGTTAATAGTAAAATGTAATAATATGTTTTAATATTGCGTCCCACTTCTTCCTGTCATGTACCCCTCATCTCCCTCAAGTGTCCTACCTTCGGCCTACCTCATAATAACTACTTAAGGTCCATTTAACCTAAAAAATTTCTAAGATAAATCTATCTACTATCATATCTGAGAAATGGCCAATTGTTTGATTCTTGGTGTAATTTTTAATGTGATGATGTATGCCAGATCACAAAAAGGTGGCCCAATTATCCCAGCTCTCCCCTACGAGTAGAAAAGATGCAACCATTTACCTCAATTTGGCAATCGTCATCCATGTCTGTTATCAGTTAAATCAGTGTGTGTAGCTTATTTAAAAGGACTGTAGCTTATTTAAAGGTTTAGGCAATTGAAGGTCAAAAAAAAAAAAAAATAGGCTTTTTCTCCTCTCTTTTTTAGAAATTTGAGAAGGGGACGTAATCCATGAGACTTCAGTCTACAAACAACCAGGATGATTAAAACCAGAGCAGTATATACGGCTCTGATTAAAACAACATTCTGATAGACCTACACTTAATCGATCGATTTATGTTTTTCTATGAATGTGAAATTCTAAGACTATTTACTTTTTTAGTATTTAGTATTATTTACTTCCAATCACCAAAACAAACAGTATAATTTAAAGGTGTGCGTCATATTGGTGCTTGTACGGTGATGCAAGGGGCCATGGCTCCTAATGTTTGTGCTGGTCCGGATTTTCAAAAAAACCAGGAATGCAGAGGAAAGTGGTCGTCTAAAGGGTTACAACTTGGTAGAGAGATTGATAAACTCCGCTGAAATAGTCCTCACTGATGATCATATTCCGGATTGCCATCACATGCGCACCAAACTGTTGACTACATTTTTTAATGTTCGATTGTACATTTTGGCTAGAAAGGAAAATAGGAAACGATCTTCCAAGGCTGAAGCAAACTTGAATGTTGATGGGAAACTTGGCAGCAAATTTGTTGAGGGCCATGGTTTCAAAGCTGAAATGATGATTATTGAGTGGTGTGATATAACTTTCATGCCTTCATGACATAAAATAAATTGTGCTGATTGAAACTGAATAATGAGCCTTTTTCTGTTCAGGCCCACAAGTAAAAGAATTATTTTCGCTCTTTTATCCTTTATATTAACTTCACTATATTCTAAAGCTTTATGTAACAACAATCATTGGTTATAGTTTATGCAGTCGTCAGGAAGGGCCTATTGATCAAAAACAATATGAATTATATCATACATTGTATTACTTATCAATATGTTGCATAAACTATAACTAGTGATTAGCCTATTGTTCCATAAAGCTGTACAATATACAGCTAGGCCCTATTTTAATATGGAAGATTACAGGTTTAATATTTCGGTGGTTAATATTTGGAAAGTGCTAAACTTCAAAATTCATCTTCTTTTTGTGTTTTTGTATAGACATACCAAATTTTATCAAAATCTGTTAAAAACTGTAAATTCTAGAGCGTTTACGAGGGATAAAGTCGGTCGTCTTGTAGCTAAGAGAGGGTAACAAGATGGCGCCTTGTGACGTAGTTGGCCAGACTCTATATACAGCTCTGGTTAAAACCAAAACCATGACAGGAACTTTGGAACAGAACTGTTGCGCACATTCAGTTCAAATTGCAACTTTACATCACCGAACTTTTCGAACTGCGGCTGTAAAAGTTTTGGTCTTACCCCCAGCCTGTCCGGTTACACTGTAGTCCAATAGGCTACAAGACTGATGGCCGACCCAATGTTAAAACTTGATAGGCTATCTAGGGTCAAAATTTGGTAGAGTAATGGCCATTTTAAGATAGGTCGAAAACTAGAAGATGACCTTCTCTCAAAACAAAATCTAAGCCCATTTCCTCTGAAAAATCAGGGTGAAACTTCAAAGTCGATTTTTTTCGAACCAAATATCAAGTTCCTGCTCTGAAAAAATTCCTCCAACACTTTTAGTCTCATAATTTTTCCCCGAAAAATTAAAGCGAATTTTGGTTTCCGAATAAAATAGATCGGAGACATGTTAAACTGTCTTTTGCAACAAAAATTATACCTCTAGGGTCAAAATTGGCCGAGTTATGGCCATTTTACAGGCCCGTAGCCTAACCAATACTCCTGGGTGGGCAAACGTGCAATCGAGGGGGGCAAATTTAGCAAAGCCCCTTAACAGACGATTAAACGTCGGGAAACGGACTTTCATGGAGTACTTTAGATTCGAGATTATTTTTGTTAAAACACACAAGTTATAATACGTTACATTTTTATTGCCGTTTTAGTTTCAACGTAGTCGGGTATGTTTTATGGCTCTATTCTCGGTTGCTTTGGAACGTCTTCTTTTCCAATGTCACCTGGTACTCCTGTCTTTTCAGAGCATCTTGGTACTGCATCCGTTGTGTTGCCCGCTGTGGTTTTGATAGCAGTGTCAGTCCCAATAGTGTCGGAACCATCAAGCAATTTGTCTTTTTTGATCAAATATTTATCCATTTTTCCTACGATTGGTTGTTTGATTCATATGAATACAATTTAGGATAATATATGTCTATTAGTTAGTATTTATAATCAACCAATCAAATCTTTTGAATTTTGAGACGGGACAGATTACAATCCAGTATGAGACCAATAATTTTGTTACCAATGACGCTTTACTGCAGACTTTTTATGATTTTCAACGAACTCAATTGTATCAAATTGTCTATTCTAATGTAATTAAATTTAAAAATGTTATTAAAAGCTATGATGTCTGGTTTCATCCTCAGTTAACTATAAACAGAAAGATATTTAAAAACAGTTCTTAAGTAGGCCTACAGATAGGAATACTTAGTATTTGTTTTAACCATTTCGCATAACGCAGCCCTGAAAGCCATAACCTTATTTTTCGTTACGTATAATCAAACTATCGAAATACTCATCATATGATCGACAATGCAAGAGCAGCTGACTGGTGCACTTACTCCACCATTAAATGCCTGACCAGAATGACCAATGTGTGCTATTCACTCAGACTCAGTTACCTGCGGCTCCTATTGACTCGGGAATAAGAAAAGGTGTATTTTAAAAAAGTGACCGGTACATTTTGCTAGGGGGGCAAGATTTGATTTAAGGGGGGCAAAGCCCCGCCAAGCCCCCCCTTGGCTACGAGCCTGCCATTTTACTGAAGGGATGGGGTCTGAAACCAGCCTAATGCAGTCCAATGGCACTGGTTGGGGTGAAGGCCATAATTTTGACAGGCTGCCAATGGAAGACTATCAGAGATGTAAAGCTGAAATTTGCACTGACGGTACATACCCATTTGAAGTTGCTCTGTTCCAAAGTTCCAGCCATGCAAACCCTGTCTGTTACAGCACTTTTGGTCTCAGATTTTTCGCCAAAGCAAAATATAAGCGATTTTCTCCCTGAAATGGAGGGTGGAACTACAAAGTCGATTTTCCCGAAAGTTTGACAAAAAATCGAATTTCGGTCTCTGAATTAAATAGATGGAGGACATGTTAAACTGTCGTTTGCAACAAAAATTATACCTCTAGGGTCAAAATTGGCCGAGTTATGTCCATTTTAGTGAAATTGTGGGGTCTGAAACCAGCCTTATGCAGTCCAATGCATCTGGTTGGGGTGAAGGCCAAAAGTTTGACAGGCTGCCAATCGAAGGCTATCAGAGATGTAAAGCTGAAAATTGCACTGAAGGTACATACCCATCTGAAGTTGATCTGTTCCAAATTTCAAGTTCCTGCCATGCAAACTCTGCCTATTACAGCACTTTTGGTCTCAGATTTTCCCCCAAAGCAAAATATAAGCGATTTTCTGCATAAAATGGAGGGTGGAACTTCAAAGTCGATTTTTCCGAAAGTTTGACAAAAAATCGAATTTCGGTTTCTGAATAAAATAGATGGGGGACATGTTAAACTGTCGTTTGCAACAAATTTATACCCCTAGGGTCAAAATTGGCCGAATTGTGGCCATTTTAGTCAAGGGGTGGGGTCTGAAACCGGCCCAATGCAGTCTAATAGCACTGGTTGGGGTGAAGGCGAAAACTTTGACAGGCTGCCAATCGAAGGCTATCAGAGATGTAAAGCTGAAATTTGCACTGAAGGTACATACCCATCTGAAGTTGCTCTGTTCCCAATTTCATGTTCCTGTCATGCAAACTCTGCCTGTTACAGCACTTTTGGTCTCAGATTTTCCCCCAAAGCAAAATATAACCGATTTTATCCCTGAAATGGAGGGTGGAACTCCAAAGTCGATTTTCCTGAAAGTTTGACAAAAAATCGAATTTCGGTTTCTGAATGAAATAGATGGGGGACATGTTAAACTGTCGTTTGCAACAAAAATTATACCTCTAGGGTCAAAATTGGCCGAGTTATGGCCATTTTAGTGAAGGGATGGGGTCTGAAACCAGCCAAATGAAGTCCAATAGCACTGGTTGGGGTGAAGGCCAAATCTTTGACAGGCTGCCAATCGAAGGCTATCAGAGATGTAAAGCCGAAATTTGCACTGAAGGTACATACCCATCTGAAGTTGCTTTCTTCCAAATTTCAAGTTCCTGTCATGCAAACTCTGTCTGTTTCAGCACTTTTGGTCACAGATTTTGTCCCCAAAGCAAAATATAAGCGATTTTCTCCATGAAATGGAGGGTGGAACTTCAAAGTCGATTTTCTCGAAAGTTTGACAAAAAATCGAATTTCGGTTTTTGAATAAAATAGATGGGGGACATGTTAAACTGTCGTTTGCAACAAAAATTATACCTCTAGGGTCAAAATTGGCTGAGTTATGGCCATTTTAGTGAAGGGGTGGGGTCTGAAACCAGCCTAATGCAGTCCAATGCATCTGGTTGGGGTGAAGGCCAAAAGTTTGACAGGCGGCCAATCGAAGGCTATCAGAGATGTAAAGCTGAAATTTGCACTGAAGGTACATACCCATCTGAAGTTGATCTGTTCCAAATTTCAAGTTCCTGCCATGCAAACTCTGCCTGTTACAGCACTTTTAGTTTCAGATTTTGTCCCCAAAGCAAAATATAAGCGATTTTCACCATAAAATGGAGTGTGGAACTTCAAAGTCGATTTTCCCGAAAGTTTTACAAAAAATCGAATTTCGGTTTCCGAATGAAATAGATGGGAGGCATGTTAAACTGACTCACAGGCTCACAGCAGGATAGTTAGTCTTGCCGATCATTCTTGGATAATGGTATCTTGGAGCCTTCCTTTAACAAGGCTTAAAAAAATGTAACATAACCAAGGCCTAATGAGAATAACATTAATCTGATATTTGAGGCCCATGTGACTCGCCCTGCCTCATCTATTTAGAACAAATAGATTTGTTTCGGATATCTAAGCATGTTTGCTTATTTGCACCAACACTTGATACAAGCAGACATACACTGTAAAAAAAATTTCCTTCGATTAACAGAAAAAATTCCGGCAGCTGATTTACCAGAATTTAAATTTTGCCTTCAGTTATATAACAGAATTTCTTGTGAAATATTTGCTTTAAATAACAGAAATATTTTACTACAAAATCTGTTAAATTACAGAATGACTAATAATATTTCCTGTAATTAACAGAAAATAGGAAGGATATTCTGGTAAATCTGCTGCCGGAATTTTTCTAATATTTCCTGTAATTTAACAGAAAAATAGGAAGAATATTCTGGTAAATCTGCTGCCGGAATTTTTCCTTCCAGTTCTGTAAAAAAACAGAATTTTAAAAAGGATATTCAGGTAATAAATCTGTTGCCAGAAATCATTTTCATTTTACTGTAAAATAACAAAACATTTCAACTTTATGTGTTTATTGGTATTATTTGTGCATTTAAAATAATCCGAGAAAATGATGTTAACTACACCTTTAATTATACATACAACTGAAAATGTGGGCGTATAAAAACAATCTCTTGCATAAAAACAAATGATGAACTTGAAATACATACTCATCACTAATGACATCTTTAACACATCTTTTAATGACATTCTCATAACTAATGACATCTTAATAACGTGCTGATCTAACTAATTCGGATTTAACTAATGTCTTTTTTTATTTATGTTGACACTCTTTTCTCCACACTGCCCATATTTTATTAATATTGACAGAACTTCAAGGACCTGTGGTCCACTTCACTTTTTTTAGTGTTCCACAAGGTTATAAGACTCCATCATCCAGCACAATACAGTTTATGATGCAACTCTAATCATTATTATAAGGCCTAATTGTTTTTGATGTGCACAGTTAATTGTTGCTCGTTCGAAAGTCAGGTCAAGTCTCATAATGCTCCGTAACTTTTAGCTGGTAAATAATGGCAGAAACTCTAAAGAAAGGGAAAAGGTGACATACCTGAAAAGATAAATTTAAAATGAGAAAATATTTGTTGTGCTAACGTACTGTAGTAGTGTAGTAATAGTACGGCACTGGATCTTTTAGTTCGAGAAATCCAGAGTCCAATTTACCCTCGTTTACGAATTTTGTAATGCCTCGTCCACGTGGTGGGTCCTAACATTGAGTGTAAACGGTTAAGGTTTATTCACAAGAATATTAATGACAAAATTCTCATTCCTTGTATTCTTGTACTCTGGTGCAATCATAACCATAAAAGGCTGAAAAAGCGAGGATGTACAAAAACAAAAAGAAATTATAAATTAAAAATAATAAATTAGTAAAGGCATAAGAAAGTGGATGGAAATTAAGAGCATGATGCAATGACACACTTACGTATAGCAGTCATGGGTGGCCCTACAAAATAATTTCTTAAAAGCAGGTTGCACAGTTTGACATCGATAAGACATTGCAAATGTTATTAATAGTAGGTACAAACATTTTATATAGTGTCACTTGTACAAAGTTGGTGGGAAAACTGACTTGAGGGATCTATGCATAATTTGGCGCCATTTTGTCGGGTTTGTTTACATTTTGGTAAAAGTTTTCAGACAGCATGAACAAATATAAAATTGCAATAGAAATTATGGATCCTGTGATATTTCATATCGTTGGAGGTTTTCTTATGTAATCGGGTATAACTTACATTGCGGTTGGCTAAACCTGAAGAATTAGAGAAATGAATTTGAGGACTTCATTG